TCTGCTTGGAGACGCTCCCTTCTCCCACTTGACCACCTGACAAACTCCTAACCTCGCCTTGGGGATGACTCTCTTTGCCCTGTTACTTGAATATCCCCGAGCACTGCTGCTTCAGGGCCACTACACAAGCTATTTCCTTGGCCTGGAAGCACTTCCTTCTCCCTTCCCCTGGGTCAGTGATCCCCTTTTGTGCACAAGTGATGCACAAGTGACAGAAAACCAAACTGTTTCCAGCCAAAAACGGGAAATATAGTGGCTCGTGAAACTAAAACATCCAAGTGTGTCTAATTTCAGGTACGGATCCAGGGGTTCCAACCCTGTCTAGCTCTGTGTTGATCTCTCTCAGGCAGGTTTTTCTCTTATGAAGTCCCCTGATGCTCCAGGCTTTCACTTGCCTACTCTCCATCCAATGGAAAAACTGCACGTCTTTTCGCAAATAATTCCCAGCAACCAAAGTCCCAGGATCAAGTTTCATTGGGCAGGCTTAGTTACACACCCATCCCCGGACCAATCACATAGAGCCAGACTTGGTCACACGTCCACCCTTGGAGACAGGGTCCTAGGACACCCCACCCAAATCTCATGGAATGAGATGAGGGAAGAAGGGGTTCTCCAGCAGGAAATTGGGGTGCTATTACCCCAATACAGGAGAAACCAGAAGATGGATACTGATCCCACCTTCTCTTGGAAAACTCTAGCTTTTCCCAACATGCTGTGTGACCTCAGGCCAACCGCTTTCCCTCTCTGGGCCTCATGTTCCTCCTCTGAAAAATGGGCAGGAGGCCGTTTGAATTCCAACATTCCAGAATTCTGGGACAGCTTCCAGGACTGGCGGCTGCTCCCGAAATCCCAGGAACGTTCCGGTACTTCTGGGGACGGAAGTGGAGCACCAGCCAGAGCCGTCCCTGGCCCCCTGGCCTGGGAACATGCTTAGAGGATGACAATTGGGCTCCCTTCAGCCGAAATTCCACTCCCGTGGGGGCCTTGCCAAGGAAAACAAGCCCAAGAACTGGGCATTGAAGGTGAGCATATTTGACAAGTTTTAAGACGACAAATTATTTACACAGGTGTGGGAACCGTCCCCTCTCACCCTGCTTTCTTCTCTCTGTCTTCCTCCCCTTTCCAAATTCTTTCCCCCAAGGGTGCTGACAGACGTGCCAAGGGAGGGGGTGGCTGGCTTGGGGATCGGCCTGGAGTGAGTCCATGAGCCCGAGGCAGCAGGGGAGGGGTGGGGCAGGAGGGAAGAGGGTGTCTGCTCTGGGGAGGGCTCTCTTCCCCTCATCAACTGTCTCGCTCTCAACTCGTATTACCTGGGAAGCTATGAGACTGAGGTCCTGGATTCCAAAGCGACCTGAGTCCTTCAAGAGAACGGAGCTCAGTCCATCCTCAGTTGACAAGGAGCAGCTGACCCTGGAGAGAGCCAGGCAAGAGGAGGAGAAAGCAAAAATCATTTCTTAAGCACCTACTGTGCCCCTGACACTGAGCTGAGTCTTAAGAGTGCACTGTGAATGGACCAGATGGAAGTCTCTGCCCTGGTGGAGCTGACGAGGAAACAAGCAAGGCGAAAGACGAGTTACCTTCATAAGCACTTTAAAAATAAAATAGAGTGAGAGATTGGGGCCGGGCCGGGGGGTGAGGAGACTCTAGGTTTAGGAAGTGACATTTGAGCCGAGAAAGCAGAGAAGGCGCCTGCTAGGCAGAGATCTGAAGGAAGGACATTTTGGGCAGACGGCTCTGCACATGCAAAGGCCCTGAGGTTGAAAGTGGCTTGGGTGTCCAAAGGGCACAGAGGAGACCCGTGTGGCCAGAGCCAGGGGAGGGACTGGAGCTCGACCGGAGGTCTGCCCTGCGCTTTCTGCTCAGGAAAGCAAACATACCAAGTGGGGTGGTTATCCCCCCTTTACCTAGGGGGAAGCTGAGGCTCAGAGAAGGGCAGTGACCTACCCAGGGTCACACAGCAGAGTCGGGCCCCAGCCCCTTCCACCTGGTCGCAAGCCCATACCCCTTGCTCCTGAGAGGGGAGAGGGCAGGAACAAGGAGTGTCCAAGACCTGCCAAGCCTCCCGTCAGCAGCTCGGCCCCCAGGGGAAGGGGTGTCTGGAGGATAAGCCTTCTTGCTTCCTGTGGGAAGAAAGTGGAGACTGATTTTGCTGCTGAGTCATGGGGGTACCACAGGCTCCCAGGCCTCAATGGGCCCTGCCTCAGTTTACCCACCTGTAAAAAAATGGGTATAATAACATGTCTGCCTCCAGTACCAACTTCAGAGGGGTGCTAGGAGGGTTAATTACTGCCTGGCAATTCCGAAAGCTGTGATGAAAGGTGGGGGGAAGGGGGCACTATTAACCCGGGCAAATAATTACTCCCAGCCCGAGGGAGGAGGAAGAGGGGTCGCACCTGGTCTAATCCAGCCTCCATCCGGTTCCCTTTCCAGATGTATAGGAGCCCCGCAGGCACGAGCATCTGGCTTTGACGGCCGTCCTGGCCCCAAGACGCCCGGTACCAGGAGGAGATGGGGGTGTGAACGGGCACAGCCACAGACCAGTCTTGAGCCTGCGTCTCTGCCCCTCCCTGATGGGGAGACCAGGGCAGCACCCGTGCCGTCAGGGCCTAGGTTTCTTCATCTGCACAATGGGGGCAAGAAGCTGGCCTGCCCCTCGGGGCTGCGCTTGGTTCTCACAGGGACACAGACACGTCCCATCTCCCCGGCTGCATGTCAGGCCCCAACCTCCCACGCCAACAGCCATCCTGACTGCCACAGCCTGATGGAAAATGGTAAAAAAAATAATAATTTTTAAAACACTCTTCAGGGGACTTCCCTAGCAATCCAGTGGTTAAGACTCTGTGCTTCCAATGTAAGGGGCACAGGTTTGATCCCTGGTCGAGGAACCAAGACCCCACATGCTGGTTGGTATGGCCAAAAAGTAAAAAAAATAAAAATAAAACAGTCTTCGGAATGCTGATTAGGCCTCATGTTGCCCACAACTCTCGGGCCTCAGAAGCAAGCTCCAACTGCCCTCTGCCCCTGGAATCCCAGCCTCTTGCCCGGCTTGGGGAGGGAAAACAGGGACAGATACTGGAGCAAGCCCTCTCTTCCTCCTTTTAGTTATTTATTTTTTATATTATTTTCTTAAATTTTGTACTATTTCTTAAATTAAATACTGTCATAGCGTTAGATGTTTCGTGTGTACAACATCTTCTTTCTACTTCTGTATATCTGACAGTGTGTGTGCATGCTAAGTTGCTTCAGTCGTGTCCGACTCTTTGCGGCCCCATGAACGACAGCCCACCAGGCTCCTCTGTCCATGCGATCCCCCAGGCCAGAACACTGGAGTGGGTTGCCATGCCCGCCTCCAGGGGATCTTCCCGACCCGGGGATCGAACCCGGGTCTCTTATGTCTCCTGCCTGGGCAGGCAGGTTCTTCGCCACTAGTGCCGTCTGGGAGGCCCACCTGCCAGTGTGCTCATCACTAAAAGCTCATTTTCCATCTTCTCTCCTCTGGTGGAGCCCCTGTATCCATTTTGCCCACCCCCCGCCCCACCTCTCCTTCCCTGCTGGTAATCACAACTTTCTCCCCTATATCTACAGATTGGGTTTTTTGTTCATTTGTTTTTTGTTTGTTTAGTAGTTGTCTATATTCCACATATGAGTGAAATCATATGGTATTGATATTTGTCTTTCTCTGTCTGATTTATTTCACTGAGCATAACACCCTCAAGGTTCACTCAAGTTGTTGCAAACGGCAAGGCTTCATTTTTTTCCTGGGTGAGTAGTATTCCACCACATACATCCCTCTATGTGGTAACATTGTGCCCATCTCATGGAAGGGGACACTGAGGCTCTGAGAGGCAAATGTCAAAGCCCTGGGCTAGGAAGAGGCAGACCTCGGCCCTCCACATTCCCCTGAGGCCATCTGAGTCCCAGCTGAAGCCTCAGCATAAATGCCCGATCTATACGGTACCCCCGGAGATGAGGTTTTTCCATGTGAGTGGGCTGTTCCTGGGCCTGGGGACCCCAGAGAGAAGGGAGCCAGGTCCTTGCCAAGTGGCCATCCCTGCAGGCAGAGGGCAGGCCCCGGGCCGCTCACTTTCAGGAGGAGCCCAGGGCTCAGAGTGCTGGTGCAGGGCATCTGTGCCCAGCCCGCAAGCTCACTTGGTCCCGCTCTTACCCGCACTCCCCCCGCTGCAGCCACACCGGCCCAGGTGATCTCCAAACACGCCTTGGCTCCCACCAGTGCATCTTTGCACCTGCAGTCCCCTCTGCCCGGAGCAATGCCCACCCCCCACACACACTCCTTCCCACGCTGGCTTCTTGTTATCCAATCTCTCTTCAGAGGTCACCTCCTCAGAGGATCGCTCTGGGGCCGTCTCCATCACAGCTCCTGCTTTGCTTCCTGCAGAGCCCTCATCCGTCTCTGAAATGACCTCAAACGTCTGATTCCCTCACTACGATATAGACTCCATGAGAACAGAGGGGTTTGTTCTTATTTCTTCTTTTTCTTTTTTCTTTTTTATTCACTGCTGTATTTCCAGGACCCAGTAGAACACAGCGGTGCTCAACAGATACTTGTTGATGTAATAAAGATGTTTTTAAAAATAAGAATCATCTGGGTCACCAGGAAAGGGGTGGATGTTCTAGGGGGCAGGGAGCGGGGAGGGCTCCCCCAAGGACTGAATGATTTCTCCGGAGTCTTTCAAACAGTGTCCTGGGGAACTCTGACACCACAACAGCAACAGTCCCGCTTGTCTGGCACTGACTGTGCTCAGCACTGGATCATCTCATTTAATCCTCGCACGGGCCCCAGGAGGTCAGTCATGTGATTATGCCCATCCTCCAGATCAGGAAACTGTAGCTTAGGTGAAGGGACGCATTCCCGGTCACTAGTCACCCTCACGCCCTACCTCCCGCCCTCCAGAGCCCCAGGATCCCCTAGAGACAGCCCCACCCCTTGATTCCCAGTGCAGCCTGGAGAGATCACGTGCCCTGCCCGATGCCCCCCCAAGCTGGTCGGCGGCCCGGAGGGACGATCCCCAGCTCCCCGCGGCCACTCGCCCGTGGGGAGGGAAGACTGGCTTGGCAGCTGGTCCTGGGGACGCCGGGCAGCCAGGAGTTTCTCTCCCCGGACTTACTGTACATGATTCAGCGCCAGCCCCGGTTGTGAAATCTGGGAATCTTGTGGGCAAGGCCAGGCCCGGGGGATGGCTGTCTGGGAAAACGAGGCCGGGAAGGGGTTAAGGGGGGCAGCAGGCCACCCCGGGGGGGAGGCACTGCGCCAGGCCAGCAGAGAGCTCACCGTTCACACTGGGCCGGCCACCGCCTGCGGCCTGTCGCTGACATCACAGCTGCGTCAGTCCAGCCTGCCCAGCCCCCCACTTCCTTCCCTCCTGCAGCGGCATCTCCAGCCACGTCTCCAACTTCACTGTCCTCTCCTTGGGGCCGGGGGGTGGTGCAGCCCGTGCCCAACCTCCCCTCCTGGGAGGGAGGGGGAGATGACAAACAGTCTTCTGCATACAGGAGGTGCTTCATAAGCCACAGCTGTGACGGGTTTGAGCCAAACCATAATCCCGCAGGTTAGAGGCTCTCATACCCATTGCAGAGAAGAAAAGACCGAGGTCCGAGAAGAGTAGGGACTTGCCCAAGGTCATCCAACTGCAGAGTCGTAATTACTTGAAATGTTAATATAATCCTGCTGCTCTTCCTCAGCTTTTTATTAGAAGCACGTGTACCTCTCATCACCCGCTGGGTTGCAATAACTATCCCGAGGCTGGGGATTTTCTTTCTTATCTCATTTGTTTGCTTAAATTCAATTAAGCCAAATGGGCATTTGTTTGAGTAGAGAGATAATAAAAGGCTTTCACAGGAACCATTTGCAGATCAGTGATGACTTCTGGTACTGTATTAAATGAATTCTACGCTTGAAATTTTCAAAAAAAACCCACTTAGTACCTACTCTGCTCCAGACACCACTTATGCATATTAGACTCAATTCTTACAGAAACTCCGTGAGGGCAGCAGTGCAATTACCCATCTCACAGATGAGAAAACTGAGGCATAGGGAGCCCCCCACCATAGATGGTAAACAGCAGTCATAAAAAATAATACAATAATAATAATAACTGGCATTGATTAGATACTTACTCCATGTGCTGAGTGTAATATTTACATCACCTCACTGGCTTCTCTCACAACTCTAGAAGATAAGTACTGTTAGTTTCCCCATTTCACAGATGAGAGACTGAGGGGTTCACTTAGCTAGATAATAAAGCTGCTAAGCGGCAGAGTTGGGATTTGAACCCAGGTCTTCTGTCCCTGCGTGCATGCATGCTAAGTCACTTCTATCGTGTCCAACTCTGTGCAACCCTATGGACTGTAGCCCGCCAGGCTTCTCTGTCCATGGGAATTCTCCAGGCAAGAATACTGGAGTGGGTTGCTCTGCCCACCTCCAGGGCATCTTCCTGACCCAGGGAGGGAACCCATGTCTCTTCTATCTCCGGCATTGGCAGGCGGGTTCTTTACCCCTGGCGCCACCTGGGAAGACCCTTAGTCCCTACTCAGAACTGGGGTTGGACACACAGTGGCTGCTTGGGTAACTCAAGGACACCCAAGCTGGAGAACCCTGGGGCTGCCAAGGGATCTGACCCCCAAGATAGCCCTGGTGTCAGCTCGGGGCCGCCGGTGTGGGCCTGGCCCAGCTGGAAAAAGACGTGTGCTCGCATCTTCTCCCAGAATGCCATCCCGCCCACGGTGGTAACAGCCCCCGAGCTCACAGCCACCGCTGCCCAGCCACCTATGAGGAAGTTCATTCTTTCCCCCATTGTGCCAGGCAGAGAAAGCGAAGCTCAGAGACGGCGTGTGACTTCATCAGGGTCACACAGCAGGCTGCAGCTCCGCTTTTACCTCCCAAACCTGCCCTCAGCCGGCAGAGCCCAGGGGTGTACGTGAGAAGGGGGGGACAAGGTCTGCGCCCCCACCCGCCCCGCCCCGGGGCGAGGCCTCCTCTCCCCCTCTTGGCTTCCTAAACCCCAGCTGAGAGTCAGCGGGAGTTGGTGGGCCGAGCCACCCGTGAGCTGCCTCACAAAGCGAGGACAGAAAGAGTGTTCCTGGCCGAGGGACCGGAGCTGGAGAAGGAGGCACAGCTCATGGAACAGAGGAGGACGCGTGTCCAGCGAGGCTGATGGGGAGAGAGGGGGGCTGGAGGGAGGAGGCCAGCCCGCGTAGCGGGAGCCTTGAGCGCCGGGCTGAGGAGCTCGGGCTCTCTCCAGGGGCAACGGGGAGCCACGACAGCTGTAGAGCCGGGGGTGGGGAGCACGATCCGCAAACAGAGGACTGACTGCTGCCGGACCTCCCCTGTTCTTCCTGCTTTTGTCCCGGCCTCCGCAGGTCCTGTGAAAACGCAAGTCAGACTGCGACCCGGCTCTGCTCCGAGCCCTCCGTGGCGCCCGCCTCCTGCGGAGAAGCCACGACACAGAGGGTCCTGCTGGCCTGCCCCAGCCCTGCCCCCGGCCCTGCCCAGCCGCGCCGCCCGCTCCTGCCGCAGCACCCCAGGGCCTTTGCAGTGAGAGCTGCTCCTGATGCCTGAAAGCCTCCTCCTCCTGCTGGCTCCCTCAACTCACAGGTCGTTGCTCAGCTGTTCCGTGCTTAGTGAGGCTGTCTCTGACCCGTCTCTGGATATTGAAACCCCCAGCTCACTCTGCTTCTTCCCCCACTCTATTTCTCTCTGTAGCACTGGTGCTTTCAAATACAAGGTGTGCGCATGTGTTTGTGTACACGCATGTACGCACGCGTGCGCGCGCTCAGTCATGTCCAGCTCTTTGTGACCCCATGGACTATAGCCCGCCGGGCTCCCCTGTCCATGGAATTTTCCAGACAAAATTACTGGAGTGGGTTGCTATTTCCTTTGACTTGGGATCTTCTCGACCCGGGGATTAAACCCGAGTCTCTTGTGTCTCCTGCATTGGCAGGCAGATTCTTGACCACTGCACCACCTGGGAAACCCTTCAAATATAATATACAACTTATTTATCTTGTTTGTTGTCCGCTCACTGCACCAAAGTGTGAACTCCGTGGGGGCAGAGACCTCTGACTGTCTCGTGTCCTGCTGTGACCCCAGCGCCTGACACACAGGAAATGCTCAATAAATATTTGTTGAGTGAATGAATTCTCTTTTCCCTCAGATTAATTTTCTGAGGGTTTAGAGCTTACGACCTTTGCTCCGAACTCCAGACACGCAGGTGACTTGCCCAGGGTCACTCAGCTCACAAGTGGTCAGTTGATCTGACCCCCAAAAGTCTGTGATATGTTTCCCCTCATTCCCGGCTGCCCCTCTGGGATTTAGGCTGATGCCACGTTACCACTTCTGAGGGCTCTCCTTGGCTCCACCTTATGCTGGAGGCTCAGAGAGGTGAAGCAACTTGGCCAAGGTCACACAGCAACCAAGGGTGTGAATTCAGGTCTTTCTGCCTCTGTGTTTTGGACATTTTCCACTAAAGCAGCTCTGCCTCTCTCCCCTCCTCCTTCCCTCTTTTCAGGCAGTGTGTCTGCAGCTGAGCTATCAGGACTGCTGCGTGCGGCCTGGACATACACCATGTCCCGGGCCGGGCCCCGCCCGCCACCCCAGCCGGGCCGCGAGCACAGCGCTGGTCCCACATGCCTCTGGGATGAGCTGCGGAGAGTGTGACCAGGCCCAGCTGACACATCTCAGAGCAGATGTGGGCCCGCCTCCCACGGGCCCCGAGGAGCTCAGCCAAGACTCAGCCTAGCATCCACCCTCAGGGCGTGGTGCTGGGCCTTGGAGGGGGCAAGGGCAGAGAAGACCAGCGATCCTGGAGCGTTCACGTGAGGCAGAGATTAGGGGCTCCGGGCTCGAACCAGGGCCCAGGCCTCAGTGGTTATGGAGGGAAAAGAGATCATTTTTCAGAGCTGAAAATCCAGTGGGGTTTTAAATGAGTGAAGCGGGCCAGAGTTAAGATGATAAAGAGCTTTTTTTCCTTGGCTTCAGTTTCAGAGAGACAAGAGGGAGTGGTGGGGACCATGGCACCCTGTCTAAAGCTCAGTGTGGCCCCTTGGGGATGAGGACCCGTGCGATCAGAATTTTGGGTCCTCTGATTTTCCAGAAACACGGATTTTCATCCAACATCTACAGATTTTTTTTTAATATTGCCTCCTTTCATTTAAAAATTCTGTTTGGACTGAACACAGCCAACCCGAGGGCCAGATTCGGTCTCTTGGGCCTCCGGTTTGTAACCTCCACTTGGCCAAAGAGGACTGCCAGAGAAGGAGCGGATCAGGGCCTGATCCTGAGTCAGGATCAGAGGGTCGGGACGGCGGCCAGAGCCCGGTGCCAGCAGCTCCAAGGCGCTGCGGAAAAGGTCCCTGTCATCTGGTCCCCTCCTCCGTCTCCGGGTGAGGCTCCCCAGCCTGCCTGCCCGCCCGCCCACCCCAGCTGGCCGTGGGGTGGAAGGGGGCCCACATGGGACACAGCTGTGGCCGTGTTTTCCAGACAGATCCTCATTTTCCTCTTTTGTCCCCCACGGCCCTGCTGCCCCAGGAAGTAGGTGACCCTGTGCTCCACCAGGTCACCCCCAAACCATGACCTCATCAGCCTGCTCTTCACATGCTGGCCCCACCCCGCCACCCCCCATGATCCAAGCCACATGTCTCCACCGCCATCGCTCTGAATCTCGACCACATCCTTTCATGGCCAGGGTTCAGATGAGGAAACTGAGGCTCTGGGAGGGGGAGAGACTGGCCCAGGGCCCTACCACAAGCTTGCAGAGGAGCTGGACCCAAGCTCAGGCCTCACATGCTGGATCACAGGGGTCTCAGCTCCTCTCCTCCTGCCGGGACCCAGCCCATCCTCTGAGGTTCGGCCCTAGAACTTCCTCCTGGTTTATTCAAGCATCAGCCAGGGACTCCCCTGGTGGCCCAGTGGTTAGGACTCTGCGCTTCCAATGCAGGGGGGCCAGTATCCCATGTGCCTTGTGGTGTGGCCAAAAAAAACTAAGCAAGCAGCCAGGTCCTAGGCCAGATGCTGGGTATTCAGAAATGAGGAGACAGGGTTTGTCTCAGGCTTCCCCCATGGTGTTTGTTGAATGAATATTTCACCTGCTTCCTGGGAATCTCCTTTTCCCTGAGTCATAGTCTTATATCCAGTCTGTCTCAGCCTCGGCATCATGTTCCTCTGGCCACTTGTTTGCACGCTTCCCAGATGTCGCCCCTGTGTGGCCCCCGGGCAGCCTTCAAACCAACGCCTCCCAAGTGAACTCACCAGCCTCCCCCACACTGCCCCTCTGCCTCCTGTTTCCCGCTCTTAGAAGGTCCACCGTCTGCCCAATGGACAAAGCCAGAGGCCCGAGCGCTGTCCATAATACCTCACCCCCCACACCCTCAGCCCAACTGGTCACTGAGGCCAGGGAGTCTTGTCCTCAGCACCCCTCAAGTCCCTCTGCCGCTCGCCTCCTCCTTGGCTGACCTCACTCTGCTCCTTGCCGTGTACCCCTCGTAGGAACACCCTCCTTTCTGAATCCAGCTTCCCACAGCAGCTGGCTGACGTTTACCGTTTCCTGCGGCCGCCAGCTGTATGTAGCTCCCCATCACAGAAGGCCGTTCAAATACCTTGGCCAGCCCTAAAACCCCATTTCAGTCCAGTGACCTCGCCCTATCCGTACACATTCTGGCCTCAACCAACCCGAGCCCCTCTCACTGTTCCAGCACGCCGTTTTCTCTCATCTCTGAGACTTTGCCATGCTGTTCCTTCTGCCTGGAGGGTTCCTCCCTCCCTAATCCCATCTCTTGTCTGACTACTCCACGAATGCCCTATAAGACTCCACCAAGGTGCCACGGGCTTCATACAGTGTCTGCGATCCCCTGAGCCTGGCTTAGGTACCCACTGAGGTCCTATCCCTGCTCACCATGTGAATCAGATTACAGCTACAGGAACCAGAAAGCCCTCCAGTTTTTGTTTTTTGTTTTTGTTTTTTTTTTTACACAGAGATGATGGAATACAGGGATGTGGGCACTCACAAAATTGCTAGACAACCTGGAGGGTCTCCAGAATGGCACAGTGGAGCTTGCCCACAGGGGAAGCTGCCACCACAGCCAGTCCGGATGGTGGGGAACCAGCAGGCCACCACAGGGACTGCTGACTTTCAGAACACCTCACCTAGTTGTGCTAGAGGTGAAGAACCCACCTGCCAATGCACAAAGATGTAAGAGATGCAGGTTTGATCCCTGGGCCAAGAAGATCCCCTGCAGGAGGGCATGGTAACCCCCTCCAGTATCCCTCCCGGGAGAATCCTATGGACAGAGGAGCCTGGCGGGCTACAGTCCATGGGGTCGCAAAGAGTTGGACACGGCTGAAGCAATTTAGCACACGCCACTACTTCTGAATCCCTGAAAAGGGAAAACCTGGCCATGACCAAGTTTATCAGCAGAAAGAGAGCAAAGGCAAAAACCAGATGGCTCTACTTTCTGAATCTCGTGGGAGAGCATCTGAGTGGCCAAACCTAAGGAGCAGACAGAACCCTATCTGCAGAGGAGATGGGGAAGTGTGGCCTGTAGCTCTCCAGCCTCTGCCTCGTCTAGACAGGAGACAGTGACGTGAATGGAGGCTGGGTACCAATGGAACCTAAAGGTGATGGCTCAGGATTCCCCTCCACAGCCCCAGTCAGCCTGTGTTTACTTCTTTGTCTTTCCTACCAGACTATGAGTGCTTTAAGGGACTTGACAATGCCTTAGATACTGCAGATTCACTAGCATTTTATTGAGCACTTACTATGCCCTGAGCACCAGGCTATGTGCATTGCACACTTGTTTACAAGTTTGTACCCCCATAGGGTAGAGATTATTGTTATCCCTATTTTAGATCTAAAGAGGAGGCCCAGAGAGATGAAGTAATTTTCCTAAGATGACCCAACCAGTAAGCATTAGAGAGGAGATTAAAAATGAAAACTGCTTGACTTTACTCTTTAAACACTACGAGAGACAATTTTATCTTTTCACAGAGATCCTCTCCTAAGCATCCAGAAAAGTCACAGTAATGTTGTGTGACGGACAAATGAATCCACAAGTGACCCCTCCATTGGGACGCTCCCTGTCGCCATCTCAGCCACCTTCATCCCTCTGGGCCTGGGTTCCTCTCCATGGACAGGCCTTGAGAAATAGAAACTACCTGTGCAGTGCTGGCACTCCCCCCAGGCTCTGTAGATGGCCGAGAGGCTCACTGGCCACCGCTGTATTAAAACTGCTTACATGTCGTATCTAGGAGTAGTTTTTGGGAGATAAGGGTCATAGCTTTCATTAAACTCTCAAGCTCCCAAAATTTGACAGACTGTTATCCCAGGGAGGGATGCAGGGATCTTCCTGCCATCCTGACCTCAGTTCAAACCTTTGCCATTGTGCATCCATCCATTCACTTACCTATCCATCCACTCCCCCATCCACCCATTCATATACTTATTCCAGCATGCATCCATTTGTCCATCTACTCATCTACCCACCCATCCACCCCTCCATCCATCCATTCACTGACCCATCCGTCCATCCAATTTCTCATTTATCCATCTCATCTAACCATTCGTTGCTTCCCTGGTAGCTCAGTGGTAAAGAATCCACCTGCCAGTGCCAGAGACACAGGAGATGTGGGTTCAATCCCTGGGTCGGGAAGATCCCTTGGAGAAGGAAATGGCAACCCCCTCCAGTATTCTTGCCTGGAAAATTCCATGGACAGAGGAGCCTGGTGGGCTACAGTCCACGGGGTCACACAGAGTCAGACACAACTTAGTGGCTTAACAATAACAAAACCATTTATCAATCGGCCCAACCATTCATTCATGAAGTCACTATTTATCAATTCATCTATCCATTTATTCCTTTATGTGTTTATTTATCTAGCCATCTATTAATGTGTCCCTCATTTCATTTCTTATTTGTTTACTCATTAATTATATGTTTACTCATTCACCATTGATAATTCACAGTATCAACCGTGAAATCATCTATACTACCCATCTCATAAGCTATCCATTATCCATTTATTTATTCAACCATACATGCATCGTCCATCTATCCATTTATGCACTAACTTCTTTATTTATCCATCCATCTATCCATCCATTAAGTCAGTTCATCATTTCACTCATTGATTCATCTATTCTTTCATCCATCTATCTCTTCATCCATTTCATCCATCCACCCTCAGCCGTCCACCCACATACCCAGCCATAAATCATCCATTTGACCATCCACCCATCCATCAAAACATCACTCACCCTTCCACCCATTAACGTCTCCATCCACTCATTCTATTCTGTTCCCTGTACCAAAACCAAGAGATGAATCAGAACGGGCCCCTCCCTTGAGAAGCTCATAGTCTAGTGGCAGGAGCAGATAGTTACAACTCAAGGTGGAAACTATTAGGAGCTTAAAGGGGGCTTGAGGCAGGTGCCTCCACTGGAGGAGACTGGGTCTATCTGGGGATTCAGAGAAAGTCCCTTGGAAGAGGTGGCATGTAAACCATTATTCATAGATAGGAAAACAGTGAACAAGTTCCCTTAGATATACCAGAGGGTGACTTACAGAACACTCATTTACCTAGATGCTCACTGAGTTTGTGAAGACTTTAAAGACTGAGAAGTCCTGCAGCAAATGTTAATATTGTTTAACACAGTGATCCTCAAATTCATCGGATCATAAACCCTTTTGCCCACTTTCAGTTCAGTTCAGTTCAGTCGCTCAGTTGTGTCCGACTCTGCAACCGCATGAATCGCAGCACGCCAGGCCTCCCTGTCCATCACCAACTCCCGGAGTTTACTCAAACTTATGCCCATCGAGTCGGTGATGCCATCCAGCCATCTCATCCTCTGTCGTCCCCTTCTCTTCCTGCTCCCTGTTCCTCCCAGCATCAGGGTCTTTTCCAACGAGTCAACTCTTCGCATGAGGTGGCCAAAGTATTGGAGTTTCAGCTTCAACATCAGTCCTTCCAATGAACACCCAGGACTGACCTCCTTTAGGATGGACTGGTTGGATCTCCTTGCAGTCCAAGGGACTCTCAAGAATCTTCTCCAACACCACAGTTCAAAAGCATCAATTTTTTGGCACTCAGCTTTCTTCACAGTCCAACCCTCACAACCATACATGACCACTGGAAAAACCATAGCCTTGACCAGACGGACCTTTGTTGGCAAAGTAATGTCTCTGCTTTTCAATATGCTATCTAGGTTGGTCATAACTTTCCTTCCAAGGAGTAAGCGTCTTTTAATTTCATGGCTGCAATCACCATCTGCAGTGATTTTGGAGCCCAGAAAAATAAAGTCGGACACTGTTTCCCCATCTATTTCACATGAAGTGATGGGACCAGATGCCATGATCTGTGTTTTCTGAATGTTGAGCTTTAAGCCAGCTTTTTCACTCTCCTCTTTCACTTTCGTCAAGAGGCTCTTTAGTTCCTCTTCACTTTCTGCCGTAAGGGTGGTGTCATCTGCATACCTGAGGTTTGCCCACTTTACTCCTACTAATATCCCAGAGAATCTGTGTTCCTTAGAAGCTCATTTGGGAGATGCTCGCCTGGCCCAACTCTGGGAGGTGGTGATGGACAGGGAACCCTGATGTGCTGCAGTTCATGGGGTCTCAAAGAGTCGGGTCCTGCTTAAGTCACTGAACAACAGCAGTCTGGTCTAAACTGATTTCCACAAGAAAGGAAAACAAGCTTTCATTAAACAGTCTCTGTCTCCATAGTTTTTCCATCAGGAGACAAGATGCAGTCCACAATATACACCCAGGATTTTATTTTATTTTTTTAATCCCTAGGCTGAGCACAGTAAGTGTTCAATGAGCATTTGTGAAAAAATGTTGTTGTTGAAACAGTCACTCCAAAATGACCCCTGGTTCTTGAGCTCTCCCCATTTCCAGTGACCCCTGTGTGACCTCAGCCAGCTCTAGGTCCCAGACTCTGTTTCGGCCTGAGAAAGGGCCAATAAAGTCCCCTTTGGGCAGGGGGACTGATGCCGAAAGCTCGTGCTTTCACGTAGCCCTTGCTGCAGGCCTGGCCGCGGGGTGAAGCCCTGACCACCTGTACCACCTTCGCACACGGACAGGCTGAGTTTCCAGCCAGCCTCGAGAACTCTCAGCCCGGCTGAGCCTTCGCGGCCAAGGCTGGAACATACCTGGAAACTGCCTGAGTAATCCCACGGCGTCCCTGCCCAGCCTGGTGGGGCACGAACTGGAAATTCCCTATAATATTGCTAATTAAATGATTCCTCCACCCTCCTTCTCCCGCGCCCTGGCCTCCCGCTCTCCCTTACTCAGCTCCCCGAAGCGCCTCCAGAAACCTCCGCAAAGGAGTCTGACTGGTTTGGGGAGGGCTGGGCGGCCACTTCCCCTCCCCACTGCCCACCTGCCCGCCCACCGCCCCGAGCCCGGGCTATGCAGGAGGTGTGGGCTGCGCGGCTCCAACAGACGGAGCCGGACGCCCACCCCAGATTCTGGAGCCTCTGAGTGGCCCCTCCGCCCCAGCCCGATCCTCTGTTCAATTCACATCCTTGTTCCACGGAGACCGTCCCAGGGAGGAGACACGTGGTGCCAGAACTCCTGACCATTCCAGGGTCTGTTTTTTTTTTTTTAAGTCAATCTTCAGACTCCTCTCTGCCATGCAACTGGGCCTGCTCCTCCCCAATCTGGGTACATCCTCATCTTCCTTCCAGTCGTTCAACATTTATTAGGCCCTTCCTGTGTGCCCAGCCCCATGCTGGGTGCTGGGGACAGAGAGAGAAACAAAACGCTTGTCCCCATGGAGCTGATGGGGGCGGGGGCGGGGGAGAGAGACCTAAAAACAAATAGTGGTTGCGATAACATGGTTGAATGTCAAAATCGTTGTGCTGAAGCAAGGAAGCCTGACAAAGAAGAATACGCTATATGATTCCATCTAGAGAAAATCCTAGAGAATACAGGCTAATCTAGAGCAGCAGAAAGCTGATTGGCAGCTACCTGGCAACGGGCAGGAGGGTGCGCGGGGAGGCTGGATGACGAACAGAAGGAAACCTTCGGAGGTGGTGGATGTGTTTACCATCTTGGCTGTGCTACTGGCTTCACGCGTGCACACGTATGTCAAGACTCATGTTAAGTGTACTCTAGAAGGTGTGCCGTTCATCGCATGTCTGTTAAACCTCAGTGCATGCTAAGTCACTTCATTCGTGTCCGACTCTTTGCGACCCTATGCACTATATCCCACCAGGCTCCACCGTCCATGGGATTCTCCAGGCAAGGATACTGGAGTGGGTTGCCATGCCCTCCTCCCGGGAATCTTTCCCCACCCAGGGATGGAACCCAGGTCTCTTTTGTTTCCTGCACTGACAGGTGTGTTCTTTACCATTAGCACCACCTGGGAAGCCTGTTAAACCTCACTCACTAAAGCTGCTTTAGAAGGAAGTTGTGCGGCAGCGTGACCAGTGCAACAAGAGGGAAAATCAGGAGAGGCATGGGAGAAGCATTGGGAGGGTAGTCAGGGAAGGCTTCCTGGAGAAGGGGGCAGGGGGTCAAAGTTTTGAAGATGAAAATGAGTCCCATCAGGAAAGAGGAAAAGAGAGTGGTGTCAAGTTCTAGATGCCCTGAGTTCAAATTCGGACTCCTCTGCTTACGGGCTATGTGGCTTTCAGCAAAAGACTTGACTCAGACTCAGTTTCCTCATCTGTAAAATTGATCCCATGATAGTATTAATATCAGTACTGATCTCATAGGGCTGGTGGGAGATACAAAATACAGAAAGCGCTTGACCTGGCATCTATTAGTCGCAGCTTATACAAAAGCCCTGAGGCAGGAAGGAACAGTGACCCGAATGATGGTGAGAAAGTTCAAGTGGCTTCATTAGAGAGAGGCAGGAAGAGGTCTCAGGGGCCAGGGCTGCAGGACATGTGGGCCATGGTGAGGGATGGAGCTGTCTCCTGAGGACTGGGGAACCGAGAAAGGGCTGGAAGCAGGGGAGTTTCATCATCCAGTCTGTCCTCTTATCAAAGCCACTCTGATTATTAAAAAAACAAAAAACAAGCAAACAAAAAATTACAGTTGGGGAACCAAGGCTTAAACAGAGACAGATTAGGCCAAGTTCCAGTGGAATTACAGAGCTTAAAAGGAAGTGATCTCTCAGTCATTCAAGTCCTTGTAAGCAGAAGAACCCTTGAAGAACTGTTATCTGGGTCTTCTTAACGCCTCCAACGATGGGGAACTCACTGTCTAAACTGTTGGGCAGTTCATCCTGTAGGGCTCAACAAAGAGAGGTGTCTTAAATTGCCCCCAGTTTTTCCCTCCGACTCTGCTCAGATGCCAAGTGCTCCTCTGTTTAGAGTCACGCTGAGAGGAGCCCAGCAGACGGGACAGGAAGTGGGAAGCGATGTGAGTTACGACAGAGACTTCCTGGGTGCCGCCACGTGGCCCTGGGACATACCCTCTCCTCTGGGCTTCAGTGTCTGTAAATGGAAACGCTCACTGCGCTGCAATCCCCTTCCAGCTGTTAGAAATCGATCAGGCCTCACACAGGGGCCCGGCGGAGGCTGGGGCAGTCACAGGGGCTTCACCAGTCCCGCCCACCCACTCCCTTCTCGGAGGCCAGAGCTGACCTCGGGGCAGACGGGGCAGGCAGGCCCGTCTGGGGATAAAGGCAGGTGCCGCAGGGTATAGCCAGCTTAATAACAGGCTCCCGGATCCAGGGGGTTTGAACCCAGGGGAATAGGTTCAAACACAAATCGAGCAGCCCACATTCCCGCCTGCAGCTCTGAGAGCTAATGGTTCCCACGGCTTGGCCCCCACTCTCTCCAAGCCCAGCCTTCCCAGGGCAGTGGCAGCGGGGGGCATGGGGGGGTGGCCCCTTCTGGGCGCTCACCATGTGCCAAGCTTCTCACTGTACTCAGAGTGAGAGCCACACCCCCGGCCCTGGCCTGGCCCACACCTGACCTCTCCTCCTGCCTCCTCCCCTCAGGCACTTCTGCGCCAGGGCCTCCCCAGTGCTCCGCAAACATGCCATGCCAGTGCTGCCCCAGGGCCTTTGCGCTGCCTGTTCCTCCTGCCCAGAACACGCTTCCTCCAGATCTTGCCTGGGCAGCTCATCCTTCGGGCCTCTGCTCCAAGGTCACCTCCTCAGAGAGGCCCTCCCTCACCCCATCCAGCGGCTCGGTCTCACCATCCTGCCTTATTTCCTCCACTGGAAGCTTCGTGGGGATGTCTTATCCCCCAGGTGTGGCGTCCGCCTCTCCTGGGGTTTGGAGCCTTAGATGGAGGAGCCGATGACTGGCCCAGTGCTGGATCTGATGTCACCTGGCACAGGCTGGCACCCACCCATCAGTGCAGATTAAGTGAACAAGTGAAAGGGATGTTGGAGATGCTGAGCCCATTCTGGGGGCGGTCAGTGCCTCACCTGCATAGACCCTCTCACCTCCGCACAGATGGGCTGGAAGAATACCTGTATTGATACTCAGAGTCCCTGTGGGCCTAAACACACCTGCAGGCATGTGCATGCACACACGCACACACACCCCGCCACCCCAGCACCCCCTGCCTCCACACCAGCCCTTGGCACCCAAACGCCCCAGTGTTCCTTCCTTTCTCCAGGCTCCAGCTGGCCCCGCGCCAGCTCTTCTCCCCAGCCTGCCCGCCTGCCCTGGGCACCAGACTCATAAAGGACGAGGAAGGGCCCGGGGTGGGCTGGCCGGGTGCCATGAGATCGCAGCCCCCGAGGCTCTCGCCTCCCCCTGAGCTGCCAGACACCTGCGTAATGAGTGTCATTACTGGGGACCCGCCGGGCAAGCCCCGGCTCGCCCCAGCCACCCAGGCTGTGAGCAAAGCTGGGGATGGGGTTCGGGCAATACGGGGGCACAGGGGTGGTGGGAGTGCCTCTCTCCTCCCCGGCCCCAAAGCTCAGCCCTGGATTTCTGGATCCACAAAGACAGCCTCTCGTCTTCCACACAGACTCCCAAACCTCAGGTTCCTCTCCTAGCCCAGGTTCGGCTCAGGAGGAGACAATGGAGGGGAAGCACACATTGAGTACCTACTGCATGCCCACTTGGCGCCAAGAGCTGGTATTGCCACTTCCCACTTTAGACACCGCCACATCCGTTCACCTGATCGCTTACTGTCTCTCTCCTCCTTTTGAGCACAAAACGCGGAGAACATTTATTGAGTCGGTACTGTGTACCTTGTGCTAAACACATGTATTAACTCCTGTGTTCCTAGAACAGCCCTACAAGGTGGGTACTGTAATTATTCCATTTGACAGAAAAAGCTCAGAGAGGTAAGGCAACTTGCCCAAAGTCACACAGTTGGTAAGAGCTGGGCCAGGAGCTCAGCCAGGCCTTCCGGCTCAGAGTCCACGTTCTTCACGGCTTGCCAGGCCATCCCGCCTCTTCAGCAGCAGGTTTCATCCAGGCTGTGCTTCCCCAGTGCCCAGTCTGGTGCCCATAAAAAAACAATGAGTGAGTGAATGAAAGAATAGCCCCACTGAGTTCTGAAAATATCTTTCCAAGTGACATTTACAAATGAGAAATCCAAGGCGCAGAGAGGTCAGGTGACTTGCCACAGGCCACTCAGGCACAGCGCCCCGCAGACTGAGATTTGCACTTCAGGTGTCTCTTGTCGAAGCCAGGATGGGAGCTCACACCCCGTGCCTCTCCTGGGCCCTCATGGCCCTGACCCCTCTCTGGGCTGGACCAGGGGGCCCAGGAGGGTGAACGTGCGTCTGTCTCAGTGTCCCTAGCATCCGGCCAGGGCACATAGTTGACCTGCAGACTGAAACTGCAGCTTCCCCCCGTGGCTCCAAGGCCTTGCAGGAGCAGATCCTGACAAGTCCACCCGTCCTCTCTCCTAGCTCCTGAGCCGTGATGAATTTCCCAGACCCACCCTGCTCTTCCTTGCTTCTGGGCTCCCCTCCACCAGCACTCTTCAAGAAACTGCCCCAGCCTCAGCTTGAAGGGCACCTCCTCTGCCAGGAAGCACCCAGTGCCCAGGGCTCTGCGAGGGCACGCGCGCTGCTGACCCTGGGCCATCGACTCCTCAGCCCACGTTCTGACTTCCCTCTTCTCGGGGGAGTCGGCCTGAACTGTCTGTCCAGCCACCATGGTTTCATCCCGACCCCACCCTTGACCTTCTGGGTGAACTTGGCCGTTGTTAACTCATCTGTCAGAGGCATAGGAAATTTAAGTGAAAATAGCAAGTGAAGGCCCCTACTCAGATCCCACGGGGGGCACTCAACCCAGAGCTCCCTGTGTGATCTGACTCCTGCCAACTTCTCTGACATCACCTTTCCCCTCCCTCACTCCCCCCAGCCACCTGGTCTTCCCACCTTTCCCAGGATGCTCCAAGCCCCAACCCATCCCAGGGCCTTTGCCCTGGCTGTTACCCCTACTGCAATCCCTTCCCCCAGGGCCTGTTCCTTCTCCTCCTTCGGATGTCTCTCCAGGTCACCTCTTCAGAGAAGCCCTCTCTGATCTATGAAGCTCCCGAACACCCCTGTGTGTTTCAGTCATGGGGCTTCTCTCCCGCTGAAACGATCTTCTCTGTTCCTGGGCTTGCTCAGCTGATCTTGTCTCCTCCACCAGAATGCAGATGGAGACCTTGCTGGGTCTCCGTCTCCAGGAGTGGAGCCTGGCATACAGCAGGTGCTCGAGCAGCAGGCATGGAATGAAGAGAAGACATCAAAATGCTGCTCCATCCCTGTCTCGTCCCTGCACCCCCCACCCCTCACCCCCCACCGAGTGGCCCCCAGCCCAAAGTTTCAGGGGCTGGGAACCAGGCGGCCCCACTCCCGCCGCTGGCAGGCCCCTCTGAGCCCCAGAGCCTGTCTGGTTCCCAGCCTCATAAAAACCTCCGCCCTCCCCTTGCCCTTGGGCAGCACCGGGAGAGGGAGGCGGACGCGGGCCCCGAGGCTGACCCCAGCCTGGCTCCGGAGAGGATTCAGACGCCCAAGTCAGCGTCCACGGAGCCGGGCGGCCAGGTGCCGCTTCGACTCCACAGCACAGCCCGAGGGCTGCCCTGCCGGGTCAGGACCACCACAATCGCCCCCACCATGGAGGACGCCGAGTGCAGCGGGGTGCGGCCACGGGCCAGGCCCAGGCTGTGGTGCCACCAGAGAAAGGCACAGTCGGAATTCGAATGCAGCTCCAAGGGATGCCCGCGTGAGCTCCAAGGGATGCCCGCGTGAGCTCCAAGGGATGCCCATGTGAGCTCCAAGGGATGCCTGTGAACTCCAAGGGATGCCCGCGTGAGCTCCAAGGGATGCCTGTGAACTCCAAGGGATGCCCATGTGAGCTCCAAGGGATGCCCGCGTGAGCTCCAAGGGATGCCCGCGTGAGCTCCAAGGGATGCCTGTGAACTCCAAGGGATGCCCGCGTGAGCTCCAAGGGATGCCTGTGAACTCCAAGGGATGCCCATGTGAGCTCCAAGGGATGCCCGCGTGAGCTCCAAGGGATGCCCGCGTGAGCTCCAAGGGATGCCCATGTGAGCTCCAAGGGATGCCTGTGAACTCCAAGGGATGCCCGCGTGAGCTCCAAGGGATGCCCGCGTGAGCTCCAAGGGATGCCCATGTGAGCTCCAAGGGATGCCTGTGAACTCCAAGGGATGCCCGTGTGAGCTCCAAGGGATGCCTGTGAACTCCAAGGGATGCCCGTGTGAGCTCCAAGGGATGCCCGCGTGAGCTCCAAGGGATGCCCATGTGAGCTCCAAGGGATGCCTGTGAACTCCAAGGGATGCCCGTGTGAGCTCCAAGGGATGCCTGTGAACTCCAAGGGATGCCCGCGTGAGCTCCAAGGGATGCCCATGTGAGCTCCAAGGGATGCCTGTGAACTCCAAGGGATGCCCGCGTGAGCTCCAAGGGATGCCCATGTGAGCTCCAAGGGATGCCTGTGTGAGCTCCAAGGGATGCCCGTGTGAGCTCCAACAAACGCCCGCATGAGCGCCCACCTGGGCTGGTCAGTGCACAGACGTGAGATGTGCCCTAGTGATGCGCCCTACGCATCCGGCTCTGAGCAGGGATCCCGGAGGCAGAGTACTGAGCCCTCGGGCAGGGGACCCAGCCCCTCTGTGCCTCGGTTTCCCCCGCTGGGAAACACACCACCATCTCTCCCTTGCCCGGGTGTTGAGGGAATGAAAGGAGATCCTGCAGGGTCCAACAGAGCCGCTTGGATCCCTTGCTGCCTCACCCTGCTGCATGCCCTCTGGGCCTCAGTTTCCCCATCTGGCACATCGGGTTGTGGCCAGGGTAGGATAAGATATATACCCAATGCTGCGCACACACTAAGCGCCTCATAAGTGCTCACTGTTATTTACTCCAGGCCTCTGGGGCTTACTTTCCCCGTCTGTAACTCCAGAGGGCAGTCCTGATCACCCAAGACCTCTTCTAGGTCACTGGGGCAAAGGTCCAGGGGTCCTAAAGTGGCCCCGGCAGGGGGAGGCAGCCCGGGGCTGGGGGGGGGGTGGGGGCGGGGGGAGCGGGAGCGGGACGCCGCCAGAGGCTGCGGTGACTCACCAGCCAGCCAGCCTCCAGGGGCCGGGCTGCGGCCCCCCACGCACCCCTCTGGGCCCTGTCTTGAGCCCAGAAGTGCTGTGTCATGCTCTGTCATGTGGCTCCGGGTCATTAATACCCGAGTTCTGGGAAGCTTGGGCCGAGTTCCCGGAAGGGGTCAGCCAGTTCAGTAAACAGATTGGCTGGTTGGTCGGCATGGCTGAGCCGGGCGGGCCTGCAGCTCGGGAGGCAGGAGGTGGGAACTGGTGGCCACAGCGGGCCCAGGAGCCACCCTGATCCCTGTGCAGGGCTGGCACCTCTCAGGGCAGCTTGGCCCAGGTCTGCCGATGCAAGGCCAACCTGAGGCTCAGAGAGGGCAAGGCACTTGCCAGAGGTCACACAGCAGGGCCAGGGTTCAGGTTCAGAATTCTGGACTCACTATCTAGGGCTCTCAGCGTCTCTCTGACTAATGGGCAGGAAACTCTGCCTCCCCTTCACCTCCAGATCCTGTCCCGGACTCTGAAGCCAGTTGATCGGATGAAGAGACAAACTAGTGGAAAGCAGGTTGGGAAGGAATCGGGTTTGGCAGGCTGTGAGGCTGCCCCCGAGATGGGTCCTCTAAAAAGAATAACACATTCAAGCATTTCGTGAGCACCTACAACGTGCCCTTAGACACGAAGTGGTACTTGGGCGCCACACTAAGTGCCTGACATGAATTCACTCATATGATGTGCAGCCACCTTTGCACAATAATCACAGCCATCACCTTTAAAGCATCTACTATCCCCTAGGCACTGAGCTGGTGGTCATGTGGACCCCATGAGGTGGACATTATCCTCACCCCCTCTTCATCAGAGGTGGAAATAGAGACAAAGAAAGACAAGCAGCTGTATCACTTGGTAGAAGGAAACTGGGCTCCAGGGTCAGCTGGACCCAAGAATTCAAACTTTGACTTTGTCCCTTCGGGCTGTACAACCTCATGCAAGTGCCTCCATCTCTCAGAGCCTCAGTTTACCCCTCTGATAAATGTGATGATTGTACTCAAATCACACAGAGTCAGACCTGGAAAGAAGATGGGGAGGGCAAGGACTTTGGGCTGGGACTGGTCTGGGTCCCAGTTCCACTCTGCTGCTTCCTAGCTGTGTGACCTTCGGCATGATGTTTAACCTCTCTGGGCCTCCATGTCCTCTGTACAGTGGGGATCATAGCAACACCTCCCTCGTACCACTGACAGCAGGAACGAGTGAGCTGACACCCCAGGAGCCCTCTGCGCAGGGCTGGGCGTTCCACAGGCACTGACACGAGTGACTCGTTCTTGCTTCTCACCTAAGATGACTCTGCTGGGATGAGGGGAAAGGGCGCCAGGTCATGGACAGAAGGACAGGACGCACACAAGCACCCTTCTGTACCCGCAAGTGATCTGCACAGAGGGGGTCGGTTCCCCGCTCCTCTTCGCACGCTGTTTTCTCAGGCCTGGCTGTGCCCTGGCCTCTGCTTTCTTGTTCTCATGCCGCTGTCCGCCATGCTGCTGCCCACCAGCCCAGCCCCCAGCCCTTTCGTCCAGACTCTCCTCTCATTATTCCCACCTTCACACGGTTGCACGATTGGGGTCCTCCACCCGGCAGGCTCTCGCTCCCTTAACCCAAGCGCCTGGTCTACATTGCCCCCGTCCTCTGCCTCTCGGATTCGAAACCACCTCCTCCAGGGAGCCCACTCTGATCCACCCATTGAAAGCAAACTCTCCTGGACTCTCTCTAAACCTCACTTACCCCTTTCTATCATTACACATCAGCTATTTTTGCACATGCCACCTCAAATTTTGGCCGCTGCGAGGTGGAAAATTTGCAAGGGAGATTGGGGGGAAAAAATTGTCTTGTCTCTAAAACACGTGAAGAAACCTGCTAAATAGAAATTAATAAGTCCTTTCAGGAGTCTACTCGAACTTCACAATTCATTATTAAATTTCTAATTTAGTACTTAACGAAAATTTTTATGGCGTTTTGAAAATAATCTGTGAACGAGAATGTTCCTTGTTGGGCAAACACTCCCTGGTGTACATGGGGATTGCCAAGAACCCAGAGCCCGTGGTGAAAAAAATGAGCTGCTCGTTGCCAAACAATTTCGGAAGTGAAATTATTAATATCATTAAAATCCTTTAGTGATTTTTCTAGCCAGGCTTTCGGCCTGGCCCCTTCATTTATTTCCCAGCACCATCCCCGCCCCCATGATCACACCCCCTTCCCTGGTCCCCTGGTTCCCTGGTTCCATCTCCCCTTACCTCCCTCACCCTCAAAAACAGTCTGCATACCCCAGCCCCCACCTCCATGCCCTTGCTCACACTCCTCCACCTCCTGGAATGCCCTCTCCTCTTTTTTTTTCTTTTGCCGGAATCTGACCCTTTTTTCAGACCTGAGTCCAAGCTCCTCCTCCCACCTGGTACCCTGTCTCTCCCTAACCCCCTCGCTGGAGCGTCTACACTTGTGATTCCCCATCTGCAAAAGGAGAGGGGATGGCTCAGGGGGTAAAGAATCATCTGTCATGCAGGAGATACAGGAGACGTGGGTTCGATCCCTGGGTCGGGAAGATCCCCTGGAGAAAGAAATGGCAACTCACTCCAGTATTCTTGCCTGAAAAATCCTGTGGTCAGAGGAGCCTGGCAGGTTACAGCCCAATCGGTCTCCAAAAGTCGGACCCTGCTAAGCACACAGCATGTAGAGGGAACAAAGGCATCAAACTCATGGCCCTCAGGCCAAATCTGGCCTGTATATTTATAGATTGGCTCCAATACTGAATAATCAATCCAGACTTACAGTTTCTCATGAGAAGCTGCAAGCCCTTGCCTTGGAGACGTTGGACTGAAACTGAGTGGAGCCCATCCCTTAGATAAGCCTGTCCCTCTCAGCAGCCAGTTCAACACGTGTGCCATTTTCCTGGCCCTGGAGATGCCAGGGTAAGAGTTTGCCACCCTTACCCTGGAGCGGAAGTCCTGAAGCTTTCTTCAATCTCAGCACCCCTTGCTGAAACATCTTAGGTAGAATCTCCAGATCTAGTTGAAATGAGGGACCCCCTGCCCACTTGACCATGTCCTCACTCCTGGAAGAGGCACCCACCCCCATGCCTGCCATCCAGGTGCATCCTCTGGACACTTCAATTCTTTGAAGCAGAGTTTGAAAACCTCAGCATCACTTCAGGCCAGGTTGGGACCCAACTCAGACCTACTGAACTGGCACCCGAGAAAAGAAACCTCCTGATGTAGCCTCCCCCAAATCAGCCCCCCACTCAGCAAGACAGCACCTTTACCGACCCTTGCTTGGGCCAACAAATCCTGCTGAGTTTGCCTTCAAAACAGATCCAGAGGGACTTCTCTGGTGGTCTAGTGGTTAAGACTCCACTCTCCCAATGTGGGGTGGGGTGGGGCTGGGTTTGGTCCCTGGTCAGGAACTGGATCCTGTATGCAGCAACTAAAGATCCTGCATGTGGCACAACTAAGCCCAGTGCGGTCAAATAAACAAGTAAAAATAAATAAATATTCTAAAAAATTAGATCCAGAATCCAACCACTCCTCCAGCCCCGCTCCCTCCTCCATCCCAGAATGCCTGAAGTCGCCATCCCCATGCCCAGCCAGAGGGACCCTGGTAGACCAGTAGTTCTCAATTCAGGGGTGATTTGGGGGGCCCCAGGGTGCATTTGACAATGTCTGGAGATATTTTTAGATCTCAGGACTGGGTGGGAGAGAGGGTACTCCTGACACCCAGGAGGGAGAGGCCAGAGGCGCTGCTCTGAGCCCTGCGATGCGCAGGACATCACAACAGAGGGTCCTTAGCCCGCGTGTCAGCAGGCCCAGGGTCGGAACCTGTGATCCCACCTGAGTCAGGCCCCGCGTGCCTGCGCTCAGAGCTCGCCCGGGGCTCCCACTTCACTTGCAGTCAGCCTCCGCCACCTCCTGTCGCCCACAGGACCCTGGTGATCCCAACCCTCATGGCCTCCGGGCTCTCGTCTCCCCCCCTATCCTCCCATGGGCTCACTCGGCCAGATCAGTCTCCTTATCTTCCCCCGACAAGGCGAGATTTTTCTCCCTCAGGGCACTTGCTTCTGCCGTTCCCAGCATCTGAACCCTCTGTCCCAGACATCTGCAGGGCCAGCCCCTCACTTCCCTCCAGCCTCCTGGCCCTTCTGTGATGGCCTGAGTGACAGCGCAGCCCCCATACTCCCGCCCCCGACCCCCGCACTTCCGTTTATTTCACTATCTGACATCCTCCACCTCGTGTGTTTCTTGACTGTCTCCGCGGCTCAAATATAAGCGCCATGAAAGCAGAGAGTTCACCCCTCGTTTTAGTCCATTTGCTCGCTCGTATCCTCCCAGTGCTTAGCGCAGAATGTGGTTGCTTTTCCTCTCTAAGTCACATCCAACTCTTCGGCAACCCTGCGGGCTGTGCCCTGCCAGTCTCCTCAGTCCAAGGGAGTCTCCAGGCAAGAATCCTGGAGCAGGTCGCCATTTCCTTCTCCAGGGGATCTTCCTGACCCAAAGATCACACCTGCATCTCCTGCCCGGCAGGCAGAGTCTTTACTCCTGAGCCACTTGAAAAGCCCTTCGCACATAATAGATATTCAATAAATGCTTACTGAGCGAATATGACTCAGTATACTAGATGCCCAGTGTGTTAGAATTCTACAGTTGCAGGGGCTTAGTCAACTGAGGGGCGTCCCTGGTGGCTCAGATGGTAAAGAATCCATCTGCAATGCAGGAGACCTGGGTTCGATCCATGGGTTGGGAAGATCCCCTGGAGAAGGGAATGGGTCACCCACTCCAGCATGCTTGCCTGGAGAATTCCATGGACAGAGGAGCTTGGCAGGCTACGGTCCATGGGGTCACAAAGAGTCAGACACAACTGATTGACTAACACTTTCTTACTTTCAGTCAATTGAGAGCTGGTGAACCGGTGACAGCTTAGTCCTAACAGGAACAGTTCTACAGACTGGGACTCCACGGTCTTAAGCATCCATCAAGCTTCCATTCCAAACCACAGCACCACCAAAGAGACACCTAGGTCCCAGCTTAGAGAAGGACGGGAAGGCAAGAGAGAAGGGGAGGAAAAGGCTGGGCCAGGCAAGGAGGCTGAGGCCACAGGTGGTTCTAATAGGAGACAGGCCCCAGCCTAGGAGGGGTCCCCGGGCTGCCCAGCCACGGGAGACCCCGGTCCCCCTCACAGAACAAGAGTTCCAGCTGTGCGTGTGGAGGAGCGTACTCCCGGAGACCCCGGGCAGGAGCTCAGAAGATAAAGGTGGACGATTTGCTCTAAGGAGAAGCCACCTAATGTGAATTCACCAAGAACCAGGCCAAAACCTCAGAAAAAAAAGATCAACCACAGAGAAATTTGCCTAGAGCCTGTCTTGCAATTCTTTGGGATTGCCTTTCTTAGGGATTGGAATGAAAACTGACCTTTTCCAGTCCTGTGGCCACTGCTGAGTTTTCCAAATTTACTGGCATATTGAGTGCAACACTTTAACAGCATCATCTTTCAGGATGTGAAATAGCTCAACTGGAATTCCATCACATCCACTAGCTTTGTTCATAGTGATGCTTTCTAAGGCCCACTTGACTTCACATTCCAGGATGTCTGGCTCTAGGTGAGTGATCACACCATTGTGATTATCTGGTCACATGGCATCTGGTCCCATCACCTCATGGGAAATAGATGGGGAGACAGTGGAAACAGTGTCAGACTTTATTTTGGGGGGCTCCAAAATCACTTCAGATGGTGACTGCAGCCATGAAATTAAAAGACGCTTACTCCTTGGAGGGAAAGTTATGACCAGCCTAGATAGCATATTAAAAAGCAGAGACATTACTTTGCCAACAAAGGTCCATCTCTAGTCAAGGCTATGGTTTTTCCAGTGGTCATGTATGGATGTGAAAGTTGGACTGTGAAGAAAGCTGAGTGCCAAAAAATTGATGCTTTTGAACTGTGGTGTTGGAAAAGACTCTTGAGAGTCTTCGACTGCAAGGAGATCCAACCAGTCCATCCTGAAGGAGATCAGTCCTGGGTGTTCATTGGAAGGACTGATGCTGAAGCTGAAACACCAATACTTTGGCCACCTCATGTGAAGAGTTGACTCATTGGAAAAGACCCTGATGCTGGGAGGGATTGGGGGCAGGAGGAGAAGGGGACGACAAAGGATGAGATGGCTGGATGGCATCACTGACTCGATGGACAGGAGTTTGAGTAAACTCCGGGAGGTGGTGATGGACAGGGAGGCCTGGCGTGCTGCGATTCATGGGGTTGCAAAGAGTCGGACACGACTTGAGTGACTGAACTGAACTGAACTGAACTGTCTTGCAAAGTATAAAAAAAAGTGAAAATAAATTGGTTTTTCTCCTTGACCTAACACAATAACACAATTATACAAATTGTTAGGATGATCAAAGTGAAGGGAGTGTTGATATATTTAAATAGATGTAAATAAAATGGCATGACAGCACATATCCTTTTCATTGCATGTGACCAACCCCACATACCTGATGCGAAGAGCTGACTCATTGGAAAAGACCCTGATGTTGGGAAAGATTGAGGGCAGGAGGAGAAGGGGACGACAGAGGATGAGATGGTTGGATGGCATCACCGACTCAATGGACATGGATTTGGGTAGACTCCGGCAGTTGGAGATGGACAGGGAGGCCTGGCGTGCTACGGCTCATGGGGTTGCTAAGAATCGGACATGACTGAGCAACTGAACGGAACTGAACCCGACATAATCACAGAGAGAGTTATTCAGTCTGCACTGGGGCCACCCCTGGGGCCCCTGGTCCCTAGTTCCAATGCTGGGCCGCCCACTGCAGACTCTGGAAACCTGGAGGACGCTGAGGCCCCGCCCACCCCAGAATGGACGCTTGAGTTCCACGCCCACCACCAGCTTTTGATTCGGAGGGCAGGCCCGGATGCCCCTGATTGGTGGACGCCGGTCACGTGGCTGTAACCCCGCCTCCGGGGGATCCGCCCCCAGCCCCTCCTCAGCCCCCCGGGGTCCTGCCGTCCTTCCCTCCTGCAAAGTCCCAGGCCCTCAGCCCCTCCCCGGCTCCTGCAGCCCGCTCCACATCCCAGGAGGGACGAATCCAGCACCTCCGGTTTTTGAATAAGTAAAGGATTATTGTGCCCCACTTCAGGAACAAATAAGAAACCAGGAAAACGTATTTTTACGATTTTTAACAACGAAGGAGCGAATTTTCCCGTTACAAAGATGGTCTCAAATAAACAAGACAAACGCTCCATGGAGAAAATGGTAACACCATAAAAACGAAAGCAGCTTGGGTATCCACTAGGCACCAGATGCCGGGATACAAAAGTGGACGAAGTCTGCTTCCTCCTGAGCTCACCGTCCGTGGGAAAAATGACTAAGAGGCTGGTGGGAACTCCGCGGGGACCAGGGGCGCCCAGGCAGCTGGGGGACGGCAGGGACACGCCCACCTGAAGGGGTGGTGAGGTGAGAAGGGGTCAGAGTGCCCCAGGAAGGAGGCGCTGCCCAGGCAAAGGCGTGGCGAGAGGAAGAACGCCAGCCACAGCTTCTAGAACCTTCCAAACCAGAGGTATCCACCGTCTTGGGTTCTGTGTGTGGTTTTTAATTTGATTTTTTTGGTTCAGCATTTAAAAATCCAGCCTTTTCACACACGACCTCGGATTTCTGGCTTCTCTTGATAAATGGAAAGACCTGGGCCCCGTGCCGGCTAAGAAGCAGCTGAGAAGGGCTTGTTCTCTCCAGTTCACGGCAGCCACCACCCAGCCCACCCCTCTTCGTCACATCGCCAAGACATCTGAGTTTTTTTGACTCCCTGTTTTGAAGCTTGCCAGGGAGGACGCTGGGGAAATAGGCCCAGAGAGCTTAAGCAACTGTCCCAAAGTCACACAGCACGCAAAACAGGGCTACAGCCTGAGGACTCTGGACGCGAACCACCTCCTCCCTGGAGCCCCACGGACCCCCACCTCAGCGGCCGCTGACCCTGGCCCTGAGCCCCGGGAGAACCACGAGGCCGGGCTGGGGAAGGCCCCGTCCTGTTTAGGTTTTGTGGTCTCGTGAGTAACCGAGTGGAAAAAAACAAGCTTGAAAAGATAACAATTACAACAGAAAATTAAATCAAATCGGGCCCGTGACTCATTTATGGAGCCGTAAAAACAGAAAACAAAAACAAGCTGGTTCTTGAGGAGGGAGGCCGGGATGAGGAGGGGAGAAGCTGGAGAAGGAAAAAATAAAGCAGTAACAACCTCCCGGGGCCATCAGTCACCCCAACAAGAGGTAACGATGCCCAGCCCCTGAATGGGCGAGGGTCCTGGGGGTGTAGGAGCCGGGGGTGCCCATGGTAGGGGCCAGATCCTAGATGCTGGTGGGATGGCTGGTCTTGTCTTCCCAAACGCCCCTGTGAGCTGGGTACCACTCATGTGCTTCCTTCCACTGACGAGGAAACAGGTTCAGAGGGGCCGAGGGGCCAGCCTCAGGTCACACAGCCAGGAGGCCAGAGGCTGAGAGCCATGCCTGGCCCCAGAGCCTGTGTGGGGTTCAGTCTTGCCTCTGGAAAACAGGCTCGAGCCCCAGCCCTGTTCCCTGGTTCCGGAAGCTGCCCTGGACGTTTCAGGACCCCTGAAGACTAGCCTCCCCGACGTGGTGGGCCCCTCTCCAGCCTCCCCGTCTCCATTTACGCAATCACGGGGTCACTCCAGGCAATGACAGAGGCAGGCCCAGGAGTTCGATGGGTCTGACCCACCGAGGGAGCTTCAAAGCTCGGCCCTGCCCGCTTCCCAGAAGCTCTGCCCCCGGGGAATGAGAAGGGAGCCAGGGGCAGAGCCCGAGGGCGCCTGCCCTGAAGGCTTGTGCTTCCCCAAGGTCGCCCTGACCCAGGAACCAGACGGTGCGGGCTGCCGAGAGCGGCCGGGGAGCCGGGCTGGGCAGAGAGCACAGGAGCGCCAGGAGACGAGCACGGGGCCTGAGAGGGCTGGGGGAAGGGGCCCTGGGAAGCTAAAAATAACACCGCTCACCACGTTCGGACATGGGGTGTGGAGTGCTTACTGTGGGCAGGGCACAGTGCCAAGCACTTTACATTCATCCAGTCACCCATTCATCCATTCTTCAAGTCTCTCTTGAGCCTCTTCTTGGGCCAGGTGCCATGTTGGGGGCTGGGAACGTATCAATGATCAAGAGAGTCACAAGTGGAGCTGCCATCCCGAACACGGCAGACAGACAGGGGATAACCAGGCTGTGTCGAGACATGGTGAGAGCTACAGAGACAAATGAAGCTGGGAAGAGGGTGTCAGGCATTAGTGGTGGCCTGGCTGAGCTGTGATGATTAAGCAGGGGCCTGAAGGAGCAAGAGCAGGCTGCCCCCGGGAATGGTGTTCCAGGCAGAGGGAACAGCCGGTGCAAAGGCCCCGAGGTACGCGCACGAATGGTATGTGTGAGGGCCAGCCAGAGGGCCGGTGGGGCTGGGGCAGAAAAAGTCCTCCCAACAGGCAGGAGGGCGGGTGCTGCTGTCATCTCCTCTTACGGAAAAGGAAATTGAGGCTCAGAGACAGGAAGTGACTTGCCCAGAAGCACAGAGTCGGGAAATGGCAGATGGAGCACAAGGCGGGCTGTGTGGGGAGGCAAGAGCATGGGCCCCAGGCTGCAGGGCCTGAGGGCGACCCCCAAAGTGCATGTGTCACCAGCCTGGGTCACAGCCACGGACGCTGCGATCGTGTGACCAGGGAGCCCCAGCCTGCCTTCACCCCGCCTCCCAGGCCCCTGGGTCTAGGGCACCCGGTGGCCGAGAATCCCAGGAGCTCATTCAGGCAAAGCCAGGAGTGACTGCGAGCAGCTCCCGGCTCATCCCTGTCCCTGAGAATTGAGCCAGCTCAGAGAAGCAGCTTTGTAGCCTCAGTTACCCCATTTGTCAAATAATGGGTCCACTTTGGTGGTCTCCAGTAGCAGTTGTGTAGAGCTTCCGTAGTGGCTCAGCAGTAAAGAATCCATCTGCAATGCAGGAGATGTGGGTCTGATCCCTGGGTCTGGAAGATCCCCCCAGAGAAGGAAATGGCAACGCACTCCGGTGTTCTTGCCTGGGAAATCCCATGGACAGAGGAGGCTGGCGGGTCCCCGTCCATGGGGTCACAAGTGAGTCAGACATGAATGAGCAACTAAGCAACGATGATGGCAGTTGTGGATTCTCGGGTCCAGAGAGAGGCACGGCGTCCTGAGGTCACACAGTCAGGGAGGGACAGAGCCGGGGTGACCCCGGCTGCCTGGCTGCTGGCCCAGAGCGCTTCTTCCTTGACCCTGGATCTCAGTCGCCTGAGCCGCTCGCCCTGCCCTGATGTCTTCACCCGCCTCCGCTTCAGCCAGCACCCTGCACCCCTCACCCTGTTCACGCTTCCGGACCTTGGCATGTGATGGGGGCTGGGAACATAACAACGATCAGGAGAGACCCAAGTGGAGCTGCCCTCCCGAACACTCCTCTTCTTGAGAGTTTCTTTCTCTTCCTTCCCCTGTGCCATCTCCTCCTCCTCTTGCCAAGGGAAAACAAAGCAGGATCAGAGTGCAGAGAGAGAGGTTAGGAGGTGGAGGGTGTTTCAGCTGGTGAGGGCGGGCACTCAGAGAAGGCTGCTTGGAGGGGTGACATCTGAGCTGTGACCTGAAGGGGCTAAGGGAGGGAGTCACGGGGATACACGGTCCATGAAGGTTCCAGACGGAAGGAACAGCACGTGCAAAGGCCCGGAGGTAGAATAATCCGCGGTTTGTTAGAGGAACAGCAAGGCAGCCATCTGTCCAGAAGGGAATAAGCCAGGGGGCCAGTGGAGGCGACAAGGCCGTCAGAGAGGGAGAGGGTTTGCTGGGGTCGGGAGGTCACACAGGGCCTGGTGGGCCCTGGGGAGGACTTTGACTTTGACTCTGAGCGAGGTGGGAGCCTTGAGAGGTCTCTAAGGAGGGGGAGGACCAGCTCTGCCTGAAGTCCTAAGGGCTTCTGTCTGGCTGTGTGCAGAGATCAGACGGCAGAGCATGAGGTCCCCAGCGGGGTGGTGCTGGTGGCATGGACCACGGCGGGAGCAGTGCACCTGGGGAGAGGCAGGCTGGTTCTGGACGCAAAGGTGGAGCTGACAGGATGCGGCGGGCTGTCAGGTGCCAGGGTGAGAACAAGGCATAGAAGACGGCTCCTGGGCTTGGGGAGCACCTGGAGAACGGAGGAGCAGCTTGCTGAGATGGGGCGGTTGGAGGTCGGAGACTGGCCCACTCACAGAGCTTGGCTGAGTCTGGGGCTCCTGTCAGTTACCCCAGTGACAACTGAGAGGGGTGAGTGGACGCTTGTGTCCGGGCAACTGTTCGGGCTGGAGAGATGCGTTTGGAAATCACCAGCGTTTAGGTGAGGACAAGAGCTGTGACTCTGGCACCTCTGTGCCCCTCTTCCCCTTGTCCCAGACCTTAGCGGGCCTTTGCGAAGCATCCAAGGGACCCTCAAATAAATCCCAGAGCACGTGTCCTGGGTGCCCATCACGGTCGGGGCCATGCCAGAAACGTCTCCCACTGATCCATTTCATTCCCCATTTCATTCTCACAACTTCTGACGGGGTGGGTACCACCACAGCCTGCTCGCAGAGCTGAGGGTGAAGGAATTTTGCCTGAGGTGTCACCTAGCACTGAGAAAATAAATTACTGGATTAGTTCATCCTAGAAGGCTGCTTTAGTCGAGGGTACGGCAAGCAGCCGTCAAGGTCACCAGGGGAGTTACCGCCATTCTCAGCAACGTCTGACCGTGACCCTGGGCCCTGGGCCTGGGGAAGCCGGAGGTTCCTGAGGAGCGTCCTCCAGGCAGTGGGAAGGTGGCCTCTTGGAACTCTAGTTCCCCTGGGAACAGGTGGAGGGCAAACCTAGAGCTACCCAAGGCTAGCAGGAGGGAGACTGGGAAAGCAGCTTGGAGGAGATGAGGGAGCTACAGTCAAGGACCAGACCGAAGCCTCAAGCCAGGCTAGAGACTCTTAAGACTTTAGGGCAGGCTTCGGCGTCAGTGAGACCCCCACCACTCCTATGGAGCCCATAAGCGATCTTCGTCAGATGCCTCATGCTCACCATTCACTGCAGCCATAGCAACCCGCTGGATGGAGCTGGGAAAAAGGCTGAGGCAGGGGTGTTTTTCTGTGTGACATTTTGGGGTGGTCCATTCTGGTTTGTCCTTTTGTGTGCGGGCCCGTGCTTGTTACTTGTGTACTGTATGTGTGTGAATCAGTATTTGCACTGTAGGGTTCGATTTGTCCTCTCAACATCCCCTAAAGGTCAGGAGAAGAAGAGTAAGACCCAGATGGTGTTTGCTGAGGTCCAACCTTGTGAGAGCCACTGGACCAAGTTTCTAATATGTAAAATCAGAGTTGCGATCCCTTTTTCCTCCCAGGGCTGTGATGGGTTAATCTAGGGCTTGGAAAACTTATTCTGTAAAAAAACAGATAATAAATATTTTCACCTTTGGGGCTCACATGGTCTCTCTCACAACTCCTCAACGTGTGGTTGTAGGGTGCAGGCTTTATAGATGATAGTAAATGAATGGGCATGCTGTGGGCCAATAAAACTTTATTTACAAAAGCAAGCTATAGGCCAGATTTAGCCCACGGACCATGGTTTGCCAACCCTTAGGATAAAGAATGCAAGCTGGAACACCTGGCATCGAGTAGGCACTCGATAATATTTGGTGAGTGAGTGAAATGAGCCTGGGTTTCACTTTCTTCGCTTCTTAAGAAGAAATAATTGCAGGGACTGCCCTGGTGGCTCAGAATCCGCCTAAAATGCAGAAGACCCAGGTTTGATCCCTGGGTCGGGAAGACCCCCTGGAGAAGGGCATGGCTACCCTCTCCAGTGTTCTTGCCTGGAGAACCCCACGGGCGGAGGAGGTGCAGTCCATGGGGTCGCAAAGAGCTGGGCAAACTCTCTGATGGTCCAGCGGTTAGGACTTTACCTTCCAACGCCGAGGGTGTGAGTCCAGTCCCTTGTTGGGGAGCTAAGATCCCACGTGGGTCATGGCCAGAAATCCCTTGTTACTTGAGGCTGCAGAAAGGGTAGGAATGGTAACAATAATAATCACCAAAACCCTGATGAGATAGGGGTTCAGTAGTCCCATTTTACAAAAAGCAAGGCTAAGTGAACAAGGCCACAGAGCGGGGACAGGACGAAGTTGGGATTCCAACCTGGATCTTCCGAAGCTGAGCCTGGGGCTCTCTCCACTCTGAGATCTGGAGGCTGAGACAAAGACCCTGGGGCCCACGCTGGGTCTGCTGCGGGCTCTGGCTCTAGCTTCTCAGTTCTGTCCTCCCCACAGCCAGGGGTCTGCGCCCATACTTCCTCATGAGCAGGGGGTCACATGCTCAAGGGAGAGAGACACAGAGACAAACAATCAAAGACCAAGACAGAGATCCAGGGAGACGGAAAGAGAAACGGAGGCGCGAGAGAGGTGGAACTCAAGGAGGGTGACATCTCCCATCCCTCCTTTCCTCCCTGGGGCTCCCTCCCAGCCCCGCCATGCTCTCCATCACCGACTCTTTCCATGGAAAATACAATCCACGCTCCACACAGTCCTGGGTTGGAATCCTGCCTCAGACAGTGACCACTCTGTGACATTAGACAAGGGACTCCCCCTCTTTGACCCTCATTCCCTGCGTCTGTGAAATGAAGATGATGCTGACTTGGACCGCTTCGCTGGCTGCTGCACCAGATGGAGTGGATGGTCATGGTTGACTGGTACCCACATGCACCCGAGGACCCTAGGCACCCCACCCCCGCCCTGGGCTAGGGAAGGGGGCTAAAGACACTTTCAGAGCTCAGGGCTTGTATTCCCCAAGGGGTCACTATTTACTTATTCATTCTTTCAACATTTATTGAGTACGTGCTGTGTGCCAGATCCTCTGCCAGACTACAAGGGATGAAGCAGTGAAGAAGGCAGCCCTTTGCGGTGGGGCTGATGTCCTAGGTGGGAAGACAGCTGAGAAACCAACAAGCAAAGGAGCACAAAAGTACCAGGTGGTAAGGAGGGCACGGGGAGAAATAACTCAAGGACATTGGGGTGGGGCGGGGGGGGAACGGCGGAAATGCCTCCAGGGGTGGGTGGCTAATTATTGAGTACTTTCCTGAGTGCAAGGCACTTCAGTTAACTTTAATCCCACTGACTCTCCTCAACAAGCCCAAGAGATAGGTACTCTTATAGCCCCCAGTTCTCAGATAAGGAAATGGGCTCAGAGAGGATGTGTGACCTACCCAGGGTCCCACAGCTGTAAGGGGCAGAACCATTCAAACAGGCCCTGAAGTCCTGGGGCCAGTTGGAGGGGTTTAATCCAAGGTGGGCTGAGTCGATGCCAAGCCGGCACTTGCTCTGCGAGTTAGCAGAGCAGAGCTTGAATGGGGGGCAGCCAGGCGGAGAGCAAGACTTGCGTCAGAGGCATCAGCAGCCAATCGGTTAAGCCCCTAGGAATCCGGGTCCCCGGGCCCCCTGGCAGTGCTCCAGCTCCAGCTCCAGCTCCAGCTCTCGCCACCACCAGGCCCCAGATAGGGTGACGGCCACGCCCAGGCTCAGCCTCTGGCCCGCGCCGCCTGCTGGGAACACACAGTCCTCGGGACTAGGAGGCTCAAAATAGAAAGCTCAGAACCTGGGTTGGAGCCTGGAATGCCCGGCAGGCGGGCCGGCCGGGACTCCTGGACCGGCCCGAGCAGTGCCCGGCCTGCCGGGGCGGCAGAATCAACAGCATCCCCGGCCAGGGCCTCCATCCCATCTGTCATCCTCTCGAAGCAGTTTCCAAGAGGCTGGCTCCAGGATCTGATGAACCTGGGCCCCTGTCTTGGCTTCAGCTCAGACTAGCCATGTGGCCTTGGGCTGGTCACCTACCCAGAGGGACCTCAGTGTCCTTGTTCTTGTTGTTTTAGCTGCCAGGTCGTGTCTGACTCTTTGCGGCCCCGTGGACTGTAGCCCAACAGGCTCCTACATCCATGGAATTTTCCAGGCAAGAATACTGGAGTGCGTTGCCATTTCCTTCCCCAAGGGCATCTTCCCGACCCAGAGATTAGAACCCAGGTTTCCTGTCTCCTGCATCAGCAGGTGCATTCTTTACCACTGCACCGTTTGGGGTGACTTAGTGTCTTTATCTGTCAACAGCTCACAGAGTTGTTCATTCAGTCGTTCTTCAACTGTCAAGCACCTGTCAAGTTCCAGGCACTGTACTGAGCACTGGAGACCCAACAGAGAACAAAAGAAATAAAAATCCCTGCCTCTGTGGATAACTAATGTCTACAGTCTGTCAGAAGGGCTTCCCCACTGGCTCAGCGGTAGCGAATATGCCTGCAGTTCAGGAGACACAGGCAGGAGACCTGGGTTCAATCCCTGGGCCGGGAAGATGCCCTGGAGAAGGGAATGGCAACCCAGTCCAGTGTGCTTGCCTGGAAAATCCAGTCCATGGGGTCACAAAAGAGTCAGACATGACTGGGTGACTGAACAACAATAGGAACAATGGTGCATTAGGCCCCGTGGGACTCTTTGCGAGCCCATGGACTGTACCCCACCAGGCGCTTCTTTCCTTAGATTCTCTGGGCAAGAATACGTGGCCCAAGCAAAGAACTTGCCTGACGATGCAGGAGACGTAAGAGACGTGGGTTCGATCTGTGGGTCAGGAAGATCCCCTGGAGGAGGTCATGGCAACCTTCTCCAGTATTCTCGCCTGGGGAGTCCCCTGGACAGAGAAGCCTGGCGGGCTACAGTCCATAGTGTCTCAAAGAGTCAGAAGGTGACGCACCCTCTCAGAGGAACATGAAGCAGGGACAGGGACATGGAATACTAGGTGAGGAGGGGAGGTGGAGGGGGGCCTGTGGACACCTGGGGAAACAGTATTTCAGACCAGGGAGCAGCCAGTGCAAAGGACTTGGGGCAGCATGAGCTTGGGTCATTTCAGAGACACAAGGAAGCCAACGTGTCTGGAAGGATGAGTGAGGAGCGGGCAGGAGGGAGAGGAGGTCCGTCTGATGCCGGACCTTGTGAGCCAAAGGACAAGCTCAAGGTCGATCCTCGAAGTGCTGGGGATGTGACTCAGCGGGGGAGCAAGGTGGGCTGATGCATAGTTTCATAGGACCCCTCTGCTGAGGGTGGAGACAGTTCTGGAGGGACTTCTGTACCAGCGCGGGCGAGAGGTGACGGCAGCAGTGCAGGCAGAAGGCAGGATGTAGAGACCCCTCTGGGCCTCGGGAAGCCTAGCAGGAAGGCGGCAGGCTGGAGGCCCAGCCTGGGAAGCTGACTGGTTTGTCCAGCCTGGCGCCTGCGACCCCCACCCCCAGCCCATGCTGACCTGTGTGTGGCAGCCGAAGAGCTGGGCAATGTGCCTGGAATGTCCGCCACGAGGCCTGGGCCGGACAGTGTCTGTGGAACCTGCCGGGAGGCTAGGCGGGCACCCTGGCCACAGGCCTGCCCACATGTGGAACCTCTCAAGCCCCCTGAGTCGGGTGTGTGGTAATCACAGGGCCTGGAGCAGAGGGGCGGGGACTGCAGACCGGAGCCTCCCCCACAGCCAGCCCCACTCCTGTTTGCTGAGCACCTATTGCGTGCTGAACCCTCACCTCGCTCTGTCCCAGCCCACCAGCACCTCACCCCTGCGCCCCTGGGACCTTCACATGGCCCGACTTTCAGATGAGGAGGTGAAGTGGCCACAGTCCCACGGGGTGAAACAGGACAAGCAGGAGCTGAGACAGGCGCCCAGGACCCCGGATTTGGCCTGCCTTCTCTGTGGTTCTGCTGGCCACAAAGCGCTGCAGAGGTCAGGGTGAGTCCAGAGAAGCAGCGTGGGACTTTGAGTCCCATGGGGCTTTCTCTGGGCCTTAGCCCCCTGCTGTGTCAAGGAACTAGTCCTTCATTCATTCACACGGGTTTCCTGGGCACCTGCTCTGCACAGGCGCTGTGCTGGGGGCTGGAGCTACAGCACGGAGCCGTAGACAACACGCCCCCCTTGACGATGGTGACGTTCCAGCGGAAGAAGACAGACAAACGTTATAAACAAGTCAGGTAATCTTCTAGGATAAGCTCTCAGTCCTAGGAAGAAAATAAAAGAGCCTGAGGTGATGGAAGTGAGGGGCTGGCCAAGGAGGGCCCCTCTGAGCTGAGGCCTGCGGAGAGGTGAGGGAAGAGAGTTCTCTATTCCAGAGGAAACAGCAAGGGCAAAGGCCCTGAGGCCGCAGCATGATTGTGTGTTTGTGGCACAAGGAGGTGGTCAGCGTGGCTACAGTTGAGCAGAAGATGGGGCAGAGCAGGGAGGCTGGGGTGGCGGAAGGGAGGGACGTTAGAGGGGACTGGGAGGTGACGGGGTGGGGTGACACTCCCCCCACCCCGAGCCTCGTGGGTGGCTGTAAGGACTTTGGCATCTGCTCTGAGAGCAGTGGGAGCCATGGAGTGTTCTGAGCAGCGGAGGGCCAGGACCTGTCTTGGGTTCTAAGGGGATCCCTCTGGCTCAGGAGGCCAGAGTCGAGGCAGGAAGACCCACGAGGAGGCAGCTGCAGAAGTCCCAGTGGGAGAAGGCGGTGCTGGACCAGGTGAGCAGTGGAGACAGACCCTCGGACCTTTGGACAAGCTCGCTGGTGGACTAGCCAGGGTGAAACTCGGGTCTGGAGCCCAGGCAGCCAGGTGCTGGGGTGCCATCACTGCAGTGGGGAAGACCCCAAGTCTTTGCTATAGGTTGGGGACCCTTCTGGGCATGAGGACCCACCCAGAGTAAAAGGGGGTACCTAGGGCTTCCCAGGAGGCTCATGGTAAAGAATCTGCCTGCCAATGCAGGAGACACAGGTTTGATCCCTGGGTTGGGAAGATCCCCTGGAGGAGGAAATGGCAACCCACTCCAGTGTTTGTGCCTGGGAAATCCCATGGACCGAGGAGCCTGGAGGGCTACAGTCCATGGGGTTGCAGAGTTGGACGCGAGTTAGCCACGGAGCACGGTCCACCACAACCCTGCCTCAAGCACAGAATCAGTGAAGAGACCCCATGGACAGGTAGCCCTGGAATCTGAGACCCCAGAGATGAGGTGCTCTCCCTGGTGAGACCCCTGCACATACAGCACCTTTGACTGGCCCAACCTCTCACCCCACAATAAGTGAATTCACTGTTCTTTGCTGTGCCCCGGCATCCCACTGGGCTCCCTGGAATCCCAGGAGGCAGCAGAGATGGGATGGAGCAGGCTGTCTCCATCCTCATGGTCCCCTCCACCCGCCTCTCCTGCCAGCCAAACAGGGCTGAGGACTCAGGGCCAGCTCTCCCCCCACACCTCTGTCCAGCCTGCCCCCCGTCCCCTCTCTCCCTGCCTCCCCCACCGCCTGGCTCCTACTCATCCCCACCCAGAAGCCTTCAAAGATGACGCCCAGCATCACCTATGGGCCCTGCGGCTGGGGACTTGGCTCTGGTCCCCAGCACCTCATGCTCCATCTCGTCATCGCTCGTCTCCGGTACTAAGTTCCCATTTCCCTGATGGAGGAACTGAGGTTCTGAGAGAGGAGGGCGGTTCCCAAGGTTACAGGCAAGGTCAGCAGTGCCAGGATTCAAACTCGGATCTTGACTCCTGATCTCTTAACCTCAGAGTGCGACAGCTGCTCGCTTAGGTGGGCAAAATGGACTCAAGACAAAGATACGGGTGCAAACTGTGTATTTGGGAGGATGACCGCAGAAACATCAGTAGGGAGTGCGGAAGTGGGACAAGGAAGCGGTGAGCGGGTCACCTCTGTGAGCTCAGCCCCCAGGAAGCTGGGGGAGAAGGCGCATCTATGCACCCGGGTACTCACCTACCCCTTCCCACCTCTGCGGGCGGGGGTTTCACCCTACTGCCCGGCACACCACAGCCCCAGGAAGCCCTCAGGCAGAAAGAGAGACGACAGTGACCACAGCGTGAGCTCCCAGGTGGGCACCGCGAGGGCCTGGGGCTGTGCCCCCCCAGAGGGGTCTCCAAGTCCTCCCTCTTTCCCACGCCTGCTACTCTCGCCCTGCCCCAGCCCTTCTGACCCGCAAACATAAGCCCGAGAGACCAGAGCTGGTACCAGCGGGAAAACAGAGGCCGACAGAGACCGCCCGCACGCCCCGGACTGCTCAGGGGGCGAGCGGCTGAATGCTCCTCCCTTATGGGTCTCCCAACTTCTAGAATGCGGCTGGCCCCAGGATGCAGACAGTGACCTTCAGTGAGATGCAGCTGACTTACATGAGCACGGGCATGTCCTTCCACCTCTCAGAGCCTCAGTTTCCTCATCTGAAGAAGGGGATCGTTAAAATCAAAAAGCCAACTCACAAGATTTCTGCAGGGATTCAAGGGGACACGAGATATAAAGGGCTTAATACAGCACCTACAAGTCGCAGGAGGTGCTTCTATAAGTATTTGCATTTCAGTGAGAGGCGGCCTGTGTCTCTGGCATTCAGTAAACGGAAGCCACTATTATTGTGGTCGTCACGGTGGTTGGGGACCCTCTCCCTGAGGACCCGAGCCCAGGCCTGTTCTGTTGAGATGAGATACGGCTGGGTCAGACCTCCCGAGTCCCCCCGCCTCTTGCTCAAGGCTGCCTGAACTTTGGGGAAACAGAGGAGGAGGAGGAAGGGGTGGGGGCTCGGGCAGGCTGGCTGGCGGTAACCGCGGCCACTGACCCTGCCCAAGAGGCCTGTCCTCGCCCGTCCACCCCTCCGCCAGAGCCGCCTGCCCCTTCCACGCCGGGGACGCCTCGTCTTACACAAGAAAGGAAGTGGGAGGCCCGGGGCGGGGGGGGGGCGGCCAGTGACGCCAGGACCCCGTGTCCACCCGGCTGCAGACGGGATGGGCAAGGGGAGGCCCCCGCCAGGCTTCCTGTGTGCTGAGCACACGGGGCAGAAAGGGGAAGTGAGGCCCAGGGTCACAGGGAGATCCAGGCAGCATCTTCCCCCTCCCCGGCCCAGCCGTTCCGCCTGCCCTCCCTGACTCAGGGGCCTTGAGTTCAAATCTCAGCCCGGCCATCTCCCAGCTGCGTGACTTTGGACAAGGCAGCGCTCAGCACCTCTGTTTCCCATCATTGCTGGGGAGCAGAGACGCTTCTCCTCTAAGCCTCCCACCTCTTTAAGGTATTGTAGTCATCATCTGCATTTCGCAGATGAGGAAAGCAAGTCCATGGGGTTCTTTTTTGAACAGCATCAGTATACTTGGATATTTAGGGGCATGATGGGAGAGGGTAAGCCTGAAGACCTACTGCACGCTGGCGACTCAAAGACGAGGCCAACAAGACCCCCGGACTCCGTCCTGGACCCACTGTGGTTGTTATTCATTGGCTCAGTCGGGTCTGACTCTTTGCGACCCCATGGACTGCAGCATGCCAGGCCTCCCTGTCCATCACCATCTCCTGGAGTTTGCTCAAACTCAAGTCCATTGAGTCAGTGATGCCATCTAGCCACCTCGTCCTCTATCGCCCCCTTCTCCTCCTGCCCTCAATCTTTCCCAGCATCAGGGTCTTTTCTAGTGAGTTGGCTCTTCACATCAGGTGGCCAAAGTATTAGAGCTTCAGCTTCAACATCAGTCCTTCCAATGAATATCCAGGGTGGATCTCCTTTGAGATTGACTGGTTTGATCTGCATGCTGTCCAGGGGACTCTCAAGTCTCTTCCAGCACCAATAGGCATTACTAATCAATTATGATTCTCCCTCCTAGGAGCCCTGTTGCAGCCTCAGTACAGCTCTGCACACTGCCAGTCCAAGCCCCTGAGGCCTCAGTAAGTAGGGAGAGAAAGTCTGATCGATCCCCCAACTCAGCAACAGCCTGGATCAGAGGAAGACGTTCTCAAGAAAGAAGCTGCCCTCTGGCAAGCTGTCTTTGGGTATTTCTCTGCAATCAGGGACCCTGGAATATATCTACACCTATCAGCCCAGACTCTTAGGGCTCTTCCTGGAGCAGCATATTGAGGGGACCATTGGCAGAGTCTGGGCTTTGAGGGAGACGTTTACATAGTTACTGGGGCTGGGCTTGCCCTTGCAGAGGAGGGTTTGGGGTCCAGGGCTGGGCGAGGAGGGGGCCAGGAGGAAGAGAGGCCCAGATCACCAGCATGCTGTGGACTCTCAACCATGCTCGGGGAAGCCCAGTGACCCGCAGCCCTAGGGTGGATCGTGCAAGGAGGGAAAATGAAACCGAATGCAGAGCCCTGGGCCTCCAGCCAGCCCTGGCCATCTAGCCCTGTGTTCACTGCCATCACGCTGGTCCAAGCCACCGTCAACACTCGCCTGGACATCTGCAGTTGTTTCCAACCTGGTCTCCCTGCTTCACCTTTGTCCCCTACACAACCTTTCCGCACGGCAGCTAGAGGGATCAGAAATATAACCCCGAGCAAGCCATGCCCCTGCTTCAACCCCCCAGTGACTGCCCTTCACATTTAGGATAAAATCCAGATGCCAGATCCTGGCCTCCAGGCCCCAGGTGCCTGGCCCCTCCCCCTTTTCAACACCATCTCCTGCTTCTTTCCCCATCACTGACGCCGCCCAGGAACCCCCAGGAAAACTTGCCACTCCTTAAGGAAGCCAAGCCGATTCCACTTCAGACCTTAGCTCCCTCTGGTCCCTCCACCTGTAACACGGTTCCTCCATATTTCCCCTTGGTGGGTGCATCTCATGAAACAGGTCTCCGGAAATGCCACCTCCTCCCGGAGCCCCGCCCCTCACCTCCCCAGGCCACCCTTGACATCTCCCCTGACACCCTGCACCGTGCTCCTCCGGTCCTGTCATTGCAGCACCCCCCGCCAGGCCTGGAAGTTTGTGCGCTCAATCGTGTCTTACTCTTTGTGACCCTATGGAGCGTAGCCCACCAGGCTCCTCCATCCATGGAATTTTCCAGGCAAGAATACTTGAGCGGGTTGCCATTTCCTCCTCCAGGGGATTTTCCTGACCCAGGGACTAAACCCACAGCTCCTGCATCTTCTGCATTGGCAGGCAAATTTTTTTACTACTGAGCCACCCGGGAAGCCCCGAAACTGTGTCCTTATTGGTTTACTTGTTTGTCTGTCTCCCTCGCCAGAATGCCAGCGGGCAGGCATTGCGCCCACCCTGGTCGCTGTGTCCCCAGCACCCAGCGCACAGTAGGTGTTTAAGAGAAACTTCTTGAAATTGAGAGGAAATAGCATAAATCGCCTAGGGGAGTTCTCACTGGGATCTTCCGAGCGCCTATTCACTGTCCCTCCCTGGGAATGACAAGGTGGTCCCTTAAGTGCCGTCCACCAGAGGGTGTACAGGGCTGGGGAAAATGCTGATTTCAGTGAGAAGGCGATGGGCTAGTGAGTGAAAATGCTGATTTCAGTGAGAAGGCGATGGGCTAGTGAGTCTGCCACAGAGCAGGTGCGGTGGGGCATCTGCACGCTTTCGTGTCTGGTCTGTTCGATGCTATCTCCACAACACCCAGGACAATGCCTGGATCCCAGTGCTCAAGAAATATCATGGAAGGTCAAATACATGGGTTCTTTGCCTAACTGGCTACTTTTGTCAGATAGAAAAACATCGCTAGCTTGTCTAACTAACAACTGTTGGCCGGCCATTCAGCAAGTCCCCAAGGTGTACTAAACCTGAGAACCATCTGGGGAGACACGTCGATCCTCTGTTACAGAGGAGAAAGCCAAGAGGACAAGCCTTGATTGAAGTCACCCCTCTGGGTGTAGTTGACCCCAAAGTTCTCCCAGAACTCAGGCTTGCAGCCCGGCGGCTGGGAGACAGAGACCTCACCCAGGCTCCTGCCCTCCCTCAGGACATCCGTAGCCCCATCCCTCGGGTACAGGGGGTGCAGAGAGATGGCCGCTGCTTCCCTTTTGAGGCATGTCACACGGCTGTGGTTAAACGGAAGCAGGGCCCCTGCCCATCCCGGGCGCGGACCTCCGAGGGCCCCACCCTCTCCATTCCCAGCTCAGACTCTTTCCAGCTGACCATGAGGGTGTCTGTTCCCTGTTCCTCTTTTCTCTGGGCAGGAGGAAGTGGGTGGGGCCATGAGACTCAGTTTCCTCATCTGGCAAGTGGGCTCAACCCTGGACACCTCCAGGAGTTGACCTGTGTGTGGATTCAAGAAAATTCGTGGAAGATGCCGGGCCAGGCTGTGACAGGCGGTCAAGCGGGAGGGCAGAGGTGGGCAGAGGGGCCTCTGGACCCCATCCCCCTCTCACCCTGAGGGCAGCCCCTGCACCGCCTTCAGTGTAAGAGCGGGCTGCTGTCCCCATGGAACCTGCCCCGTCCAGCTCTCAGCCTCCCTACTCCTCACTCCCCGTTCACCTCACAGCTCCAACTTCACGGGCTTTTATTTTATGTTGTGCTTGCTTTTCACATTTATCTGTTCGGCTCCGTCCAGTCTTGCGGCTCGTGGGCTCCTTGCTGCCGCAGGTGAGCCTCTCGCCAGCTGTGGCTCGAGGATTTCTCTCTGGTTGCAGCAGGCAGGCTCAGCAGCTGGGGGCATAGACCGTGTGCCAGGCGGGATCCTAGTTCCTGACCAGGGATCAAACCCATGTCCCCCACATTGGAAGGTGGATTCTTAACCACTGGACCACCAGGCAAGCCCCTGCACGGTCTCTTTAGACTCTGTTATTCACCCTGCTCTGCCGCACCGCAGGGCCTTTGCACATGCTGGGCCCATTGCTGAAACATACGTTCCTCCCTTCCTCAGGTCCTTGGGCCCTGCTCACGCTCCAGTTCTTAGGTCAGTTCTCTTCTGGGCTCCCGACCTCCCCACTCACGTCAACCTTCCTGCCCCATCGTGTGCTTAGCTGCTCAGTCGTGTCCGACTCTTTGTGACCCCATGGACTGTAGCCCACCAGGCTCCTCTGTCCATGGGGATTCTCCAGGCAAGAAGACTGGGGTGGGTTGCCATGCTCTCCTCCAGGGGATCTTCCCAACCCAGGTCTCCCGCATTGCAGGCGGATTCTTTATCATCTGAACCACCAGGGAAGCCCAAGAATAATGGAGTGGCCAGCCTATCCCTTCTCCAGGGGATCTTCCCGACCCAAGGATCGAACTGGGCTCTCCTGCCTTGCAGGTGGATTCTTTACCAGCTGAGCTACCAGGGAAGCCCCATTACAGGCCCTCAAACCACGTCAGGCTTGTCAGCCATAAACGGACATTTCCGAGGGTGATTGGATTGACGTCCAGCTCCCATACTGGGCTGTGAGCTCCCTGCGGGCAGTGGTCACTGTCTCCCTGATGCCTGGCACAGAGTAGGTGTTTATATTTGTTGAACGGATGAATAAATAGATGGCAAATGCAGAATGAATGGAGCAACAGACGCGTGCCCTCCAGATGCCCTCTGCTGCCTCCCGCCCTGGCCGTGGGCCCAGCCCCACCACTGCCCTGCCCAGAGCCCCTCTCCCAGGAAGGCTGCTTCAGCCCCCACCCCCACCTGTCCCCTCGCTCAGCTCTCAGCAGAGAGAGACTTCCTTTCCTGGACAGAAACCAAGGGGATGGACCTCAGTCATGGTCTTTCAGACTGGCTTCCCCCGAGCCTGATATTCTTGGGCCGAGCCTTGGGGCCACCCTCGAACAGAGGTCAAGGCTGGGAGGTCTCCCATCCCTAACTTCAAGCAGAACAGACCTCTCCCTTTTACTCATGTTCTATTCAGGGCAGTCCCAACTTAGGCACTTTAACAGGAATTCAACCATACGTGCTCAGCAAAAAATCAAGTCTCAGAGCGAGAAGAACCGATCCTCTGATAGACGTGCTGGGAGGGGGAGACGTGGGCTAGCAGTGCCCCAGGGTCTGAGCCTGTGCAGACGCGGCCCTGCTCCCCCACCGCAGCCCCCGAGCCCCCGCCCGCCCTCCCCGTCTGGGACCCAGTGCCGGGGAGATGGCGGGCCGAGCTCGCGGAGGGCGCACATCCGCCTCGGCGGGGAGGCTCGTGGCCTTCCTGTGGAACCCCCGAGGGGAACTTGGCCGTGGCCGGTTTCCACCTTACGGGCCAGAGCTTGAGCCTGCCCCGGGCGATGCGGGCCGCCACCATGGGATCCTCTTTCAAACAGTGGGTACCATGGCTCAGAAAAAAAAGGAAAAGGAAAGGAAACCGTCGGACCAGATGTTCCCAAAGGGAGCACTGAGGGTGATGTGAGCATTCCTGAATTCCACTCCTGCCGAGTGCCATGGCCCAGCCTGCCATGAGGTTCTGGGCTCTGTTGCCCTTTGCTTCATGCAGGAGGGAGGCTTAGGGCTGCTCACCCCGCCTGCTCGATCCCCCCTTCACTGCCCCCCAATCCTGACAGGCCCAGGCAGTGCCCCTGGGTTGAGAGGGACCCATCAGCTCTCAGCCAGGGGTTACCTCGGCACCCAGGGACCCCACAGCTGCATCACTGAGACGAGCTTCCACGACTGTTGTCAAACACAGATCTGGGGGCTTCCCCGGCGGTCCAGTGTTAAGACTCTGCACTGCCAGTTAGGGGCCGCGGCTTCGATCCCTGGTCAGGGAACTAAGAGCTCACTTGCCACATGCTATGGTTAATTATTTTTTTTAATAGTAATAAAATTAAAACAAAATTAAAAAAAAAACCCACAGTGTTTTGTGCACCTATTATGTGCCAGGCCCTATGTGAGTAAGAGACCATTCCCACTTGCTAGAGCTCACCTTCAGAGTGAGTTTGGGGGGGGCAGAAAACACTGAGCAAATGACCAGCTAAATTGAGAGAGGATGGCAAGCTCACCAGAAAAACGAATCAGAGGCAGGGACAGAGGAGGATGGGGGGCTGCCGTGGCGGGTGAACTGGGAGGCCCCTCACAGGAGCACAGGCCTGAGTGAGGAGGGGAGCAGGTCACAGAAAGGTCCAGAAGGACAGCGTTCCAGTGATGCAGAGTGAACCGCAGCAAGGGCAAAGGTGGGGCAGGGTGAGGACAGCGTGGTGTGTGTAAGGAGGTGCCAAGAGCGGGGCGGTGGGAGGCAGGCTCTGCGGGGCGGGGAGGGAGGCGGGGGCCTGGGAGGGCTGTGGAATAGCCGGGCAGCGGTGAGCTGACTGAGCTCTAACAGGGCCCTTCTGGAAGGTGGCAGCAGGGAGGAGGGGATGAGGCGGGGCCAGGTGCTGGCAGAGAAGGGGAGAGACGGCCTGCGTCTGGACAGTCAGGAGGCAGAGCTGGCGTGCTTTCTGATGGAGTGGATGTGGGTGAGAGCGAGCTGAGAGTGACTCCAGGGTCTGAGAGCCGATCCCCTCCTGGGTTGGGGGCAGTGCCGTTTTCTGAGCCGGGGAAGACGCAGGGAGTTAAATGACATCCGTGTCTCTGATCTGGGAAACTGAGCAAGACAGAGTCTTGGGAGGAGGAAGAAGCTGGTCTCAGGCAGACCGAGTGGCCCGAGCCACCGATGGACGCCCAGACAGGCACTGGGGAGACCTGGTCAAGGACGAGGGGCCCTGTGCGGCTGAGCTTGCCAGGCGTGGGGCCGGGTGAAGGCAGCAGAGGGTTCCACGCCACGTCCAAGGCCAGTTGTGAGGCCTGAGAAAGGACAGGCGGGGAGGACAGAGGAGAACCAGGGAGGCCAGCCTCTGCAGCCCTGGGGAGATGGTGCCCTAGGGCGGGGAGCGACACAGTGGACAGGCGAGTGCCGTCCTGGCAAACCCAGCCCCCCTCTGCAGCCTGGATGGGGGATGTCGGTGAGACTGGAACTGGCGGCCGGCCCAGAGGAGCCCCCGTCACCTTCAGAGCCCAGACTTCTCTGGGGCAGATGGAGAGACTGTGTCCTGATTGGCCTAAAGTCAGCCACAGGAATTCTTTTCCAGCTTAAAGGTAAACATGTGACTCCACAGTTACCTGGGACACTAGGGGAAGTCTACTGGGACATTTAGACAATATTTTCCTGTTTGATAAAAGAGTGACATTTTAGATGAGAAAGATCTCTTTCCTGCCCACCTCCCTTCCCTTCCTGTTTAGGATGTGGTCATGTGGGATGTGATGTCTGGTGCCACAGCAGCCACAAAGGCCCATGAGGGAAAAAAGAAGGGAAGAGAAATTAACCTAGAGCCCAGACTCTTGTTAAAGGGTTTAGTTAAGTTTCTTTACTCTTCCAGGCATGGAAGGTCTCATCGGTATAAGAGGAAAATAAGAAGGAACCCTGAGATGGGAGAAAATAGAGAGGAGGTGTGAGAAGGCCTTAAAAGAGTCTTTTAGAGGATTTCATTTAGGGCAACATTTTTCTCCAGTCCCTGGGAGAGAAAAAAGCCAGGCTCACAGACACTTAAACCCTCACCTAGAATGACACTTAAAACTTCATTCTAGAAGTCCAGGATGACATGGGTAGATATATATAATGGTACAGATAGGGGAGACTGAGGCCCAGGGAACTTAGCAGCTGCCCACGGCCATACAGCAGAGAAACACTAGCTCATGCACCCCGCCATGCTGACTGCCTCCCATGTCCTCATCCGCCAATAGGGATAAAAGCAGCCAGTGGTTAAGAATCCACTTTGCCACACAGGAGATGCAGGTTCCATCCCTGATCGGGGGATGGAACTAAGATCCCACACATGAGGCAAGTAAGCCCGCATGTCGCAACTACTGAACCCCCGCGGTCTGGAGCCCGCGAGCCGTAACTAGAGAGCCTACATGGATTGGATGTGGGATTAGATCGGAGAACAAAGGATCCCACATGATGCAGCAAAGATCCTGCGTACCACAACTAAGACCCAACCCAGCCACATAGATAAATATAAAAAAAAAACAAGGACAGCAGGTGTCCATCTGAGGTATCATGAGTCTCAAGAATCCATAAGCACTCAGTACAGTGGCTGATATACAGGGAGCATTCAACAGCATCAAGGCACAGGGCCTGGTCTGTGGCAGGCTCCGTAAGTGTGAGCAACTGTTTCTGCAAGCAGTAGGTGGTCTATGAAGGACCCGCCCATCCACTGAGCACCTACTCCATACCAGGCACATTTCTAATCCAGAGCACCGGGTAATGTGCTTCATCTCCACAACAAACAGCTCAAGAGGCTTCATTCACTCCCCAACTTAGAGCTTCCCTGACCCCACGTTCAGTGAAACACCCTAACCCCCTAACTCCCCTCCAAGTCCTCACTGGCCCCCGCTGAGTTCCCTCTGCCCCGGCTTGCATGCCTCCTAGGGCAGGCAGCGCACTCCCGGGGGCCCCGCTTTCCAAAGCTCTTGGTCTCTGTGGCCCTGAGCAAGCGTTGAGGGCCGCTCTGGGCCTCAGTTTCCACACGCATGAAAGGGCGTGAATCACCGCCGCAGCTCCCTGGCTGGTTGGGAGTCCCAGGACGGCCCTCGGCCCAGCACCTGGTCTGCAGTTAGTGCTCCGTCAACACGAGTGTGTGGTCAGCATCCCATTGCATGGGCCCTCCCAGCCTCTCGTGTCCTGCCTCCTGTTGGAGCCCTGGGTCTGTCTGGGTGTGGGCGCCGAGATGCCTAGAGTGACCCCCGTCCTGACCCAGAAGCTGGAGGAAGGGACGGGAGGTGCTGAGTCTCCCGGGCCCGCCCACCACCTCTCCCCGCAGCCCCTGGCTCTAGCTCCCACCTGACCCAGGGCCACCCACACCTCTGAGGACCCATTGTTCCCATCTGACTCGGTCCAGGGCCCTGGGCCTGCCCAGGTTCCCACTTCCCTCCAGGATCCCCCATCATCCCCAGGGCCGGCCAGGACCCAGATGAGGTGCCAGGTGTGGCAGGGACTCAGCCGTGGGAGCACGAGTTCAAATCCCAGCTCTGTCACTCCCCAGCTGCGGGACCTCGGGCCCTCCACCTCTCACAGCCTCGGTTTCCTCCTCTGTTCAGAGGGGAGACAAGACCTCACTGCGCTGCAGTGAGCAGCCTGTGATCTGTGGGTGGCAGGGTGCCCAGCACATCGTGAGCCTCGGGGAGCATCAGCCCCACTTCCTCTGCTCCCTGCAGGCCTGAAAGACGGAGTCAGGAAGAAGCAGACGCAAGGGCCAGGAGGGGGTGACCGGCCCTGAAGCCGGAGGGCAGAGACCGTGAGCAGAGCACTGGATGAGGAGCCCACGGCCAGGTCCTGGCTCCAACCCTGCTGTGTGATCTTGGACAGATGATGGACATCTCTGGGCCCCAGAATGCAGGAAAGAAAAGGCTGAGATCCTCTCTCCCTGGGAAGCAAAGCAGCGGGGAGGAGCCAAGTTTTCTTTTCATTTTTTTATTTTCAGCACAAAGGGCTTGAATGAAAACCAGCTGCACAGACAGAGAATCCTATTGTGAAGGCACCCGAGACTCCAGGGCAGGCGGAAGAGGCAGCTCTTGGGCGCTAGGCTGGGTAAACAGAGGCTGGGGTATTGGCCAGATACACGGCAGGCAGGGGACAGCTCCCCCCTCCTTTAGAGCACTAACCCGGGAGGCTGGGGCCCTCCCTTGGACGTCTCCAGCTGAGCCACCATCTCTGCTTCCAGACACAAGCCAGCCCTTTCACCTCTCAGAACCGCTGTTTCCTCATCTGCAAAATGGGTACAGCAGTCAGCACTTCTCTTCTTAGTAGGGGAAGGTGTGTTGTAGTAGGCTCAGGACAGGCTCCTCAGTCAAACAGTGTTGGTCTAATCCTGGCCCTGCCACTCACTGACTGTGTGACTTGGCGTTTCCATTCTCACCTCTCTGTGCCTCAGTTCCCCCATCTGTGAGATGGGCACAAGAGCAGTACTAACCCCCTGGGAAGATGAACCATTTATGATGATCCGGGATCATAATAAATAATGATCCCAGATCGTAATGAATAGTGACAATTATTATTTTCCTCTTATTTTTATCGTCTCATGAGCTCAATCTGCTAAGCCCCATCCTCAGAAAGTCTTCTTTCCTCTGAGTGCCAGTTCATCTCAGCACTTCCAGCACGTAATTCTGGAGTGCTCACTATGCTCCAGTCTCGGCAAAGCCAGCATTCCAGAAGAAAGATGTTAAACACCGGACTTGTGTGTGAAGAGTTCAGCACATAACAGGTGCTCAGTGATATCATTCACCCAACACCTGGCCCCCATGGCTGCCCCGTGCTGGGTTCCTGCCGGCCTCTGGAGATACAGCCCTCTTTTGGGTCCCAGTCAGAGGGTCCAGCTTGGGACGGGAGATTAGCACGTGAAAGAGGCAACATTCTTCGATAGAGGAAGTCCAGGTGGCCTCAAGAGCCAGAGGAGGTCAGGGTGGGCTTCCTGGAGGAAGTGAAAAGAAGATAGCATCTATTAAGAATTATCCTATGTGGCACATAATGCTAAAGAGCTGGGCACTGTTCTCTTTGGCCCTCTGGGCAAGGTTTTTTTCCTCACACGCCCATTCTACGGGTAAGAGACTGAGGCCAGAGAGGTCCAGTGACCTGCCAGAAGTCACACAGCAAAGAAGTGAGAGAGCTGAAATTCAAGCTCCACCGTCTAATCAGTCCCTGCAGTGCTCTCTGGACTGTCTCTCCAGCATCAGGCCTTGGATCTGGCTGCTGCTTCTGCCCAGACCAGACTCACCATCTCCTCCCGGACAGAAATTGCCCCACTGCAGCCTCCTCCGAAGCCTCCCCTCACTCTGCATGCCGCCTGCAGGCCTGACACACACAGAAAGAGGCGGTGGGTGCGGAACAGGGCGCTCCTGGGACGCACTCCCGAAAGGCAGAGCCTGGCCCTCCTTCGTTCTGGTAAAAAGGAAGGAAGAGAAGGGGCATCTTCTGCGTCCTCCCTGCGTGCCCACTCAATTTCACAACAACTCGATGAGGTCAGGTTATTCGCACTTTCTCGAAGAGAACGCAGAGGCGACTCTGCACCCCCTCACCCCGACGTTGCTGAAGGGGTCAGGGGAGCAACTCCGAAGCATCTCCGAGCCCCTATTTGCCTCTTTGGGACCTGGGACCTGCCTCTCGGGGCCGCAAGAGAAATGAGACACACACGGCCTTGTTCACCTGGGGCCTGGCTGCAGGAAACACCCCACAGGCTGGCGTGATCACTGCTGCTCGCATTATTCCTGTCACAGGGACACGCCCCCCCAGGCCTGGAAGTCCTGGACCTGCAGTCCTTCCTGTAATGAAACCCTCCTGCCAAGGCCTCCGCCAGGGGCCCTGATCACTCATTTAATTATAATCTTTGGGGGAAAACCCACACCCCCACGAGCTACTGGGGGCGCCGACTGTATAGCAGGGGTAACCTGACGCCCCTAGTCGACCAGCCCCCAGGCCTTTGTCTGAGTCTTGGTCAGATCACGCTTCTATTTTTCTAACCCCAAGCCTGGGCTGGCATGAACTCAATGCTCTGCATTGTCCTGGGACCAGGCCCCCCAGGCTCGCAGGACCCGGCCTCGTTCTTCCTCCACCTGGAGATCCGGCCCCCAGGAGGCGTCTCCAGGGAAATCAGAAACCCAGCAGGGCCCACTGGGCAGGCTCCTGTGTGTGCCCAGCCCTAGGCTTCCTGCATGTCACTTCACCAAACCTTCACAGCTTCCCTGTATGAGGGGCCCACCCTGTGCCCACTTTCCAGATGGAGAAACTGAGTCCTGCAGCATCAAATCATCCCACAAGTTGATGCAGGGAATAGTGGCAGAGCCTTTCCCAGGAGGGAGGCAGGGTACCCTGGACCCTCAGCTGGAGCCAGGCATTACATCCTGTGAGCAGGAGGTCCTCCTGGGAACCTCACAGAGTAGAGAAGGAAGAAACCTCAGCCATGGGGCAGAGGATGTCGTGGCTAAGGGCTATGATTTCCCCCAACAACTGCTCCAAGTTCAAGTCCACCTCCGGCCCGGCCTTACACAAAACCCTGCTGTTCTCCAAACCTTGGTGAGGGGATGATTCAGGTTATCAACTGTGAGAAACACTCCTCAGCAGGCTAAGTGCTCAATTACCAGGTGCTTAAAAAAACAGTTTGAAAATGACAAAGGTTACCAGCAGGCATGTAGCAGCTGCAAAAAAGGGAGCTAAGTGTGAGGACTGCTCCCTCAACCACATCACCCATCACATCCCAGGGGCCAGAGCTGAAATCAGAGCAACACCAGGTGCTACCACAGATGGGGGTAGCGGTGTAAAGTGATGCACGTGCCCTCTTTTTTTTTCGGCCAGCTGTGTGGTGTGTAGGATCCTAGTTCCCTGATCAGGGATCAAACCCGTGCCCCCTGCAGTGGAAGCATGGAGCCCTAACCACTGGGTCACCAGGGAATTCAACACATGTCCTCTTTCGTTCCTCTAGATCGGTGCCTTTCCCATCTTAGTACGTGCCTGGAAAGCAGACCCACGTGAATGCCACCAGCCCCACTCTCGGCTTCCTGGGGGGTTCTCTGAATGCAGGAAGCATCAGAGACGCAGGGGGGAGGGCAAGGGGGGTGTGGGGACAGCTCCCTCCCTGCAGGTTGTCCTGGAAGGACTCAGCTCCTTGCCAGGACACTTTCAGTGCAGCAGACATCAGCTTCCCGCTGCAGCCAGTCCCACACTGCACCTTTCCTCACAAGTTCCCTTAATCCTGCCCAAAAAGCCTCCAGTAAACCCTCCCTAGGGTGTTCCGTTCGAGAAGGGTCTGTTTCCCACCAGCCCCTGAGTGCTGTAGATATGAAATAAACATGGCCCAGCGCTGAGATGTGAGGAAGCCAGGTGACGGGGGCCTGGGGCTCATTATACTACCTCTTACCATGTTCTGGGCAGTTGATAGATATTTTCTAAAGGACGCGACACCAGAGAGAAAGCAAGCTCAGCAGGCAGGAAGCCCAGCCCATCCGGGGTCCTGGGGGCACGCCCTGAGGTCAGAGGAGGTCAGAGGGTCCACACTCACCCGCTGCTTGCTTCTGGGCTCCTTCCCACTTTCTCTTTGCCTTGAACCTCCCTGCAGGAAGTGGAAACCACACAGGGGATCACTGCAGAGGGGCCCCCAAGCAGGACTGCTGTGTGCCTCTGGGACCCCTCTGGGACCATGGGTCCCAGTCAGAGAACGGGCAGCACTGAGGGAATCTGGCTCCAATGGGACCTCACAGTGGGGTGGGGGGCAGGGGAAACAGGGGACACCCTCCCTCCAGAGAGCAGACTTTTGGAGGTGGTCTCTCCTCTTTAGTTCCTCATCTTCCCAGACCCCTGTCCAACCCTTTTTGCAGAGAATACTTGGAGCGGTGGGGGGTTGGTGTTTTATTTTTTGTGTGTTTTTAATACCAACATACACAATGACTCAATGTGTAACTTGTCACACATGCCTAAATGGAATTATTTTGTGTGCACTGTTTTGGTTTGGCATCTAGCCACGTTTTTTGTTTTTTGCTTTTCCTTTTCTGCAGAAGCCCTATCTGTCACCATGTTGACAGTTGAGAATGGGATCCTGCATATTCTTCTGTAAGCATCAAAATCCTATGCAGACTCCGGCTGGACAAAGGATTTCTTTATCTGTCCTTTTTTTTAAAAAAAAAAAAACAAATTGGGATCACGTTGCTTGTCAGCATCTTGCTTTTCTCATTCAGGAATACACAAAATAAGAACTTATGCTCAGGTATTCTTAGCAGTGTTATTCATAATCACCAAAAGGTGAAAGCACCTAAATGTCCATCAGCAGATGAATGGGTAAACATAACGTGGTACATCCACACAATAGAGCATTATTCGGCCACGAAAAGGAATGAAGAACTGATACACGATACTGGAGCCTCAGAAACATTATGCTGATTGAAAAGCCAGATGCGAAAAGTCATGTATTGTATGATTTCATTTGCATGAAATATCCAGAATAGATTAACCCATAGAGACAGAAAGCAGAGCAAAGGTTGCCAGCGACTGGGAGCAGGTTGGGATGAGGAGTGACTTGTTGAATGGGTAGGGGTCTCTTTTTTGGGGGGCAATGAAAGTATCTTGAAACTACATAGAGAAGAGGGTTGCTCAACATAGGAATGTACTAAATGCCACTGCACTGTACACCCTAAAATCATTAACTAATTAATGATTAATTAAAATGATTTGGAGAAAG